TCGGTAATCGGGATAACGGGCTGATGCAAAATGCTGCAGGTTGCCACCTTGTGCTGCCCTGCAGGCAGCCACCTTGTGCTGTCCTGCAGGCTGCCACCTTGTGCTGCCCTGCAGGCTGCCACCTTGTGCTGCCCTGCAGGCTGTCACCTTGTGCTGCCCTGCAGGCTACCACCTCGTGCTGCCCTGCAGGCTGCCACCTTGTGTGATGCTGCCCTGCAGGCTGCCACCTTGTGCTGCCACCTTGTGCTGCCCTGCAGGCTGCCACCTTGTGTGCTGCTGCCCTGCAGGCTGCCACCTTGTGCTGCCCTGCAGGCTACCACCTCGTGCTGCCCTGCAGGCTACCACCTCGTGCTGCCCTGCAGGCTGCTTGAGCGGCAGCCTTTCGAACTTATCGAACTTATTAGCCACATCAGCGGCTCCGACCTATGAATAAACTCCGCGTTCAAATCCAATAAAATTTGTTTCATACATTTGTGGCGCCCATTGGAGAACATTACAATGGATATCTCAGAATATTGAAGTCAGGCACCCCCCCCCAAGTCAAAATCCTGGCTCCGCCCCTGGCCAGGACGACCGCTGCCAAGCGATGGCAGCAAAGCGCGAGGAGGCCCGGCTTGCCAATGAATTAAAAATTAAGTTTCAAAACAATAATTTAAACCCAAACCGTGAGACGCCAGCCCCGGGCGTGATGCTTCGCATCAGTAGACATAAATCTCTGGACTCGCTCGCACCTGTGACGGGCGTGCCATGAGCTCAGAACAAACGCCAAGCCACACACCTGGACATCCTTAGAGGTGGCCCACATCCATATTCACAAGGACAAAGATTCCACCACCCTCCACCCACCCACCCCCCAAACCGCACCCGGATAGCCTCAACAGTGCTGTATTTTGTTTTCACCTGAAGACGATTGCTTGTGTTGCGATCGAAACGTCGTGATTTCTTCTTTTTTTCCTATCTACGTGGCTTTACCGAAAGATACATAGAATATGAATTCCTGCAGTCACGAAAGCTTTAAGTCAAGATTCGAAAGTGATGTTAGCGAGTAGCGGCATCTACGAAGGCCGGCACGGCACACAAAGGTGGGTGGGGGTGGGCACAGCATCGCGCCCGGCCGCCTTTGTCTCCCCAGTGGCCGATGTTTATACACCGCACCAGGTACTCATTTGAGGCTGAGTCGACCTAGGCGAAGCTCAGGACCGGTTCAGGTAATCGTCACCGGTGTTGGTCGTGAGCGGGAATCGAACCCGGATGGCCGAATTCGTAGCCGCTGTGCTACTCCCGCTCTCCCATATTCATACACACACCACACATACATACACACATACACACACACCACACATACATACACACACCACACATACATACACACATACAAACACACCACACATACATACACACCACACACACCACACATACATACACACATACACACACACCACACATACATACACACCACACACACACCACACATACATACACACATACACACACCACACATACATACACACCACACATACATACACACCACACATACACACACCACACATACATACACACCACACATACATACACACATACATACACACATACACACACCACACATACATACACACCACACATACATACACACATACACACATACACACACCACACATACATACACACCACACATACATACACACATACATACACCACACATACATACACACATACACACACCACACATACATACACACATACACACACCACACATACATACACACACCACACATACATACACACATACACACACCACACATACATACACAACACACACACATACACATACCACACATACATACACACATACACACACCACACATACACACACACCACACATACACCACACATACACACACCACACATACATACACACATACACACCACACATACATACACACATACACACACCACACATACATACACACATACACACACCACACATACATACACACCACACATACATACGCACATACACACACACCACACATACATACACACCACACACACCACACATACATACACACCACACACACCACACATATATACACACACCACACATACATACACACCACACACACATACACACACCACACATACATACACACACCACACATACATACACACATACACACACCACACATACATAGACACCACACACACCACACATACATACATACACACATACACACACCACACATACATACACACCACACATACATACACACCACACATACATACACACATACACACACCACACATACATACACACACCACACACACATACACACACCACACATACATACACACCACACACACCACACATACATACATACAAACACACATACACACACCACACATACATACACACACAGACCACACATACATACACACATACACACACCACACATACATACACATCACACACACACACCACACATACACACACCATACACACACACCACACACACACCATACACACACCACCATACACACCACACATACACACCATACACACACACCATACACACACACCATACACACACACCATACATACCACACACACACACACCATACACACCATACACACAATACACACACCATACACACACCATACACACTCACTATACACCCCATACACACCATACACACCATACACACCACACATACACACACCATACACACACACACACACCACACACACACACCATACATACCACACACACCATACACACCATACACACAATACACACACCATACACACACCATACACAACACACACACACCATACGCGCCATACACACTCACGCACACACCATACACACCACACACACACACCATACACACCATACACACACCATACACACCACATACACCACACACACCATACACACCATACACACCCATACACACACCATACACACACCACACGCACCACACCGCACACGCCGCACACACCACACACACCACACACACACCACACATACACCACACACACACACACCACACACACACCACACACACACCACACACACACACACCACACACACCACACACACACCACACACACACATACACCACACACATACACCACGCACACCACACACACACCACACACACACCACACACCACACACATACCGCACACACTACACACACACACCACACACACACACACCACACACACCCACCACACACACACCACACACACACCGCACACACACCGTACACACCACACACCACACACACACCACACACACACACCACACACACACCACACACATACACCACACACACCACACACACCACACACACACCGCACACACCACACACACACCACACCACACACACCACACACACACTACACACACCACACACTCCGGGCTTTGACACCTCCACCTCCATTCAACCAGACGAAGGGGGTAACAACAAATACAGAGATCCTTCGTATAGCATTTAGAGACTCTAGGGCAGAGGTGGGCAAATTTTTTGACTCGCGGGCCACAATGGGTTCTAAAATTTGACAGAGGGGCCGGGCCAGGAACAGATGTATGAAGTGTTTGTGTGAACTAATATAGATGACATGTATTTTTTTTGCGTTGCGCGGTGCCTCTTCCTGCATGGCAAGCGTGGGGGGAAATGAGCGAAAGATTTGTTTGTAATTTGTCTGGAGAACAAAGTGACCTTGGATTTGAAGGCTTTCACATGTTTGTACATGTCGTGAACAAACTGATCTTTCCCCTGCAGTTTAACATTCAGCTCATTCATGTGTGAAAATATGTCCACAGCAAACGCAAAGTCACTAAGCCAGTTCTTGTCGCTTAGCTCAGGGAATTCGTCAGATTTCCCCATCAACTCCAAAAAATGCGATGATGTCCTCTTTCAGCTTCCACACTCGTTGTAACACTTTCCCCAAACTTAACCAGCGGACACGAGAGTGGTACAGCAAGTCCTGATGATCCGCATCAGTTTCCTCCAGGAACGTAATAAACTGACGGTGCTGAAGTCCCCTTGCTCGTATAAAGTTAACAAGTTTTACGGCTGGATTCACGACATGATTAAGCTGCAATACAGACTTACACAGGGATTCCTGATGGATGATGCAGTGAAGGAAAATAAGATCCTGGTCAGGGTTTTCCTCTTTCACTTTTTTTCTGGATTCTTTTCAGCAGCCCAACATTTTTTTCCAGTTAAATTTGGCGATCCATCCGTTGTGACATTGGCAAGTTTACTCCAAGGTAGCTTCATTCTTTCGATGACAGCAGACACCTGGTTATACAAGCCCTCTCCCCGCGTTGTTCCTTTCAGGGACTCCATGGTCAAAAACTCCTCTGTTATCGCAAAACTGGCGTCAATGCCTCGGATAAAAATGAGGAGCTGAGCACTGTCTTTTAGGTCCGTACTTTCATCCACTGCTAGTGAATATAACTCAAAGGAATCACACTTTTTGTTTAATTGGCTGGCTATATTTTCATCAATCAGTTCCACACATGCGAGTCACAGTCCTGCGTGATGAACTGACTTTTTCAAATTTGCTTTTGATCTCCGGACACAAGATGCCTGCTGTCTTGTACCATGCATTCTTTTACAAACTCGCCTTCGGAGAAAGGCTTGCTAGCCTTTGCTATTTCGAATGCCACAACAAAACTTGCCTTGGTAGTTGACTCTTGAATCGCAGTTTGTCGGTGAGAAAAATGTTGCTGAGTCTGTAAATTAGCCGCCAACCTCTGAGCCGTAGCTGCCCGTTCTTGCGTTGACTGCTTGCTAGCATAGCTAGCATGCTTCGTAGCAAAGTGACGGCTGATGTTGTACTCCTTGAAAACTGTGACAGTTTCTCGGCATATCAGGAAAACAGCCTTCGATTGGACTTCAGTGAAAAAGTATTTTGTTGTCCACACCGTGTTAAGCACTCGGCACTCATTGTCCACTTTTCGTTTCCTTGATCCGCTCATTTTACAGAAGGGCTCACAGGGCAAAGCGAAACAGTGAAGGGAGCACCGTGTCTAACTCAGCAATGTAAACAAACCCTGAAAATGGCGCTGACGGCCCACAATGCATTGCGAGATCATGTGCCCTTTCGAGCCCTATACACCGCACTCCCGGTCAAAGTGCGCCATCTAATGGGGAAATGGGGGCATTACAGGAGCAAGGTAAAATTTAATTTAATAATAATATTTGGACAAGTTCGGCGGGCCGGATTACAAAGCCCAACGGGCCGTATACCCCCGGGGGCCGTATACGGCCCGGGGGCCATACTTTGCCCCAGTCTGCTCTAGGGGCAAGTGCCGTGAGCGAACACCTTCGAAGGCCAACACAGCACACGGGGAGCAGGTGGCGAGAACCGCGCTCTGCCGCCTTTGTCTCTCCAATGCCGATGATTACAAACCGTACTAATTTGCAGGCTGAGTCGACCTAGGAGAAGCCCAGGACCGGTTCAGATATCCGTCACTGGTGTTGGCAGTGAGCGGGATAAATCAAACTCGGGTGGCCGAGTTCGTAGCTCGGTGCGCTAACCACTGCGCCACCGCTCCCACGCACGCACGCACACGCAGGTCCAATCTCACAGACGACAAACAGCCAATGAAACTCCACTCACTTCCATGCATATCAACGCGGTAACCACAGACCAGCATCACACCAATTTATGTGCACATCCACAGCAACAACCGCCACTGAGTGGCGGTGACGTCACCACGGCGCTTGTGCCAGGCTAGGTGCACGTTGAGGCCACGTGAAGTGTCGAACGCCCGCTGGCAGGAGGTCACGGGACAGACCCAGCAGGTGCCACGGGTCGACTAAGATGACACGGCCGATGCCACCGCCTGTGCCGCCTAATGTGCCAAGCTAGGTGCACCAGGAGGTCACGGGGCAGACCCAGCAGGTGCCACGGGTCGGCTAAGATGACACGGTCGATGCCATCGCCTGTGCCCCCTAATGTGCCAAGCTAGGTGCACCAGGAGGTCACGGGGCAGACCCAGCAGGTGCCACGGCAAAGGTCATCCACTCACAACCACGATGGCGACGGCTTGGGCAGGATTTTATCCAGCAGTGGATTGATCATGGCTGATGATGCAACAGCTTTATGGATACCCTGTACTACAATGGATTACTTTCCGACGTACATATATACTGTTAAACTAATCATTTAATTTCTATAATCGCTGTTTATCGATAAATATATACGTCTATCCTACAGTTTATAAATAAAACGATGTTTTTCATTTAGCAGGAAATGCCCACTTAGCTACGTAGCTATTTGATAGCGCAACTAGCGCAACGAATTTCGATTATCGCGTGGACATTCATAGCAGCCACAGATACTCTAAGAGCATGATTCTAAATGTGGGGGGGGGGGAAACCGGACCCGAAGAAAAATCCAAGTGGCCATCGGGAGAGACACGCAAACTCCAAATATACAGCAGCAGGCGTCAGGGTCGGGATCGAACCCACGACCTCCTGCATACCAGGCGAGGTAGTTAACATCTCCTAGCCACCGTGATGATGATGAGAGAGAGGGAGACACGCAAACTCCAAATATACAGCAGCAGGCGTCAGGGTCGGGATCGAACCCACGACCTCCTGCATACCAGGCGAGGTAGTTAACATCTCCTAGCCACCGTGATGATGATGATGAGAGAGAGACACGCAAACTCCAAATATACAGCAGCAGGCGTCAGGGTCGGGATCGAACCCACGACCTCCTGTACACCAGCCGAGGTAGTTAACATCTCAGCACCGCGGTGCCCTGCAAAAAAAAAACATCACTGGTCCCAATCAGTGGCCGATTCAGCCAATCATCCACCCCGGGGGCGATACATTGAGTACCAGGTCCGGGGCTTGTGGGTGGACGATCGCGACGGCTGCCCCAGGCGCGAATCTGTGAGTGGTGCCGACAATGGATGGGGTACAGGGAAATGCACAGATTAAATCCAAATGCAATGCATAACCAGTGCCGGATTAAACTAGTGCGGGGCCTGTAGCACATGTTGTAAAAGAGCCATAAATGAAATAAAAGAAAACACGTAAATATAAAAAATCTACATTTTTAACTTGCATATTAAAGTAGTTGTATTTTTTTTATTTGCTATACAGCCAGATAATACGACAAATCGCTAACCTTAAACACCCAGTTCATAAAAGTTGAAGGCGGTACAGTACTATAGTAAATGAGCAAGTGCAGAATCACCGAACCGGAATTGACAGCTTGAAAGCATTTAGCGCGGGGCCCTTGAAAGTGCGGGGCCCGTAGCTACTACATATGTAGCTACTACTACATATGTAGTAGCTACTACTACATATGTAGCTGCTTGTGCTACGAGGATAATCCGGCACTGTGCATAACAAAGCATGCGTGTCGTGGACAACACACCTGGACATATGGAACTTTTCGCGCGTGCAACTTATCCTTTCACAGCAGCAACAACAAAACGTTTAAAGTACACATTTTTTTCAAGTACCACACTCAAGTACATTTCTACAACGTGATCAATTCTCGCCCCCTCTGCCTGTGACAACTGTAACGTGGTACTCATGACCCCCACCCCCCTCTGTTCAGCATCACTCTCCGCATGTGTCTTGAACTTCTTTCGCACCGCATGTAGCTAACCAACCGTGCTAATCGGGGGGGGGGGTCCGTGACCCCCTGTAAAAAATATTCCCTACCAAGATCCGCATCTACCCCCCACCACCACCCACCCACCCACCGCCCCCCACTGAACAGAGCTCACCCTCCGCCTGCATCATCTTCTCCCCGCCTGCAATTAATGCGACTACCCATCGCCGTCGTCGGCGTTGAATTCGATGACGATGTCAGCAATTGCCACGCAGCAAAGCCGCGTCGATGCATCCATGCCCCGGGGGGGGGGGGGGGGTGGGGGTGGTGGAGCGCAACACCGCAACGCAGGCCACGGTGATCGAGGCGGCTATATAAGCGACGGCGTAGACACAGGGCATTCAGGCAGAAGGAACGCTTCGAGGTGCTGGCCATGTCTTCCCCTCGTGGCCGGGTGCACGTGGTGCCGCCTCTGCTGTCCGTGGTGGCGGTGTTCATGGCGGCGGCGGTGATGGTAGCGACGGCTCAGATGTTCCGACCGGGCATCATGCAGGTGAGCGAACGGACACACTTCTCTCACCACCACCACCACCGAAGTTGTCTGTCAATATCTATCTATCTATCGATGATGATGATGATGAACAAAGATAGAGATTGTACCCTTTCTCGCATTAAAGGAGGAGCTGTTAAGATGTTAAAACAAACATATAGATGCATTTTGCAAAGCGTCGAGGCTGCAAAAAGCACACATTTGTGGCATTGTATTTGAAACTGATTGGCCTACAACAGAGATATAAATCGGGTTATTCCTCTAGTATTAATTATGTATCGCGAAAGTATCGCTTGTCCATGAAATATGCGCTTTAGAAAGGGTTTCTGCATTCTCTTTGCGTGATGTTTAATGCCACCTTGGAGCCAAGACGTGTTCCGTAAGAACGCTCCTCCAGTTCTGTGTTGGGCGTCGATGTGGAAATTGCCTTCAACGCACCTGAGCCAATGGCCAATACAGTAACTTGATGACTTGCAATGGGTGTCTATTTGGCGTTTGAACACCTTAACACCTCCCGTCTTACGTGCCAGCAAGGGTAAAACCTCTTCCAATGTTGTCGTCGTTGTGACACTGGTCAAAACGTTCCACCACCACCATCATCATCACGATCCATAGGCAAGACAGTCCCGTAGGTGTCCACTGCACCGTTCGTAGTTTAAATTTCGATTTAAAGCTTTCGTGACTGCAGGGATTCATATTCTTGGTTGTTTCGGTAAATTCACGTAGAGTGAGAATAAAATAATAAAATAAAACAATAAAATTCTCACGACGTTTTGGCCACAACACAAGTGGCCTTCTTCAGGTGAAAAGAACAAACCTGTAGGGACGACAGAGCTACAGTGAACGCTGCTAAGATTCGCAGCGTCTTTTAAGCTGGTTGAGAGAAGTGAGGCACCTTGACAAAGAGGTTTACATATCAAACAGGAGAATTTAGCATTGACTGTTTCAATGCTAAACAGGAGAATTTAGCATTGACTGCTTCAATGCTAAATTCTGCTGTTTGATATGTAAACCTCTTTGTCAAGGTGCCTCACTTCTCTCAACCAACTTAAAAGACGCTGCGAATCTTAGCAGCGTTCATTGCAGCTCTGTCGTCCCGACAGTTTTGTTCATTTCACCTGAAGAAGGCCACTTGTGTTGTGTCCGAAACGTCGTGAGAATTTTATTGCTTTATTTTATTATTTTATTCTCATTCTACGTGACTTTACCGAAGGAACCAAAGAAGATGATTGCTTGCGTTGCAATCGAAACGTCGTGAGAATTTTATTGTAAATTTTTTATTATTATTTTATTATTTCCCTTCTACGTGGTGACTTTACCAAAATAACTTTCGTAATTTGTTTCCACTTTCCTCTCTCTGCCTTGCGCCACGATGCTCAAGTAGTAGCTACTACTACACGTGTAGTAGCTACGGGCCCCGCACTCACAAGGGCCCCACGCTAAATGCTTTCGAGCTAGCAATTCCGGTTCAGCGATTCTGCACTTGCTCTATTACTATAGTACTGTACCGCCTTCAACTTTTACGAACGACTGGGTGTTTAAGGTTAGCGATTCGTCGTGTTATCTGCAAGATGCAAATTTACGTGTTTTAATATTTACGTTTAAAACAAACAAGCAAAAACAAATTGTAGGGCCCCTTTATAACAACAATATACTACAGGCCCCGGCACTCGCTTCATCCGGCACTGGTGCCGAAGGTCGTGGTGCCGAAGGTCGTGGCGTGTCCCATGCCAGCCGTAGCTCTGCCGTCGGCTTCAGCGCGCAGGGCTCTGTCTGCCATGGGTCGTGATTTTATCTTCGTCAACGGTGACCAGCGGGTGGGATACCAATCAGCGGGCGTGACGATGGCGGCGATGACTCTATAACGCCCCTACGGGATTATTTGGTGATCCGTTTTGATTGCAATTATTGAAGGGTCTGCCTTGCGCTCGCTCGCAACTAGGGGCTGTGATGGGCCGAACATGATTTAGTCCGTATGAAGGCGCTGACTCGCTGACGATACTAGAACCGGTTATAACAGCAACCATGAATGATCATTGGTTGTATATATGTAATATTTGTACGTACTGAATATTGGAATGACCAAATTAAATCCACGGGCTGAGAATTAGACAAATCTCACCGGCTGTCGTCGAACTCGATTCGACACTCCGGCTAAAATAAAATAAAACATGAAACGCTTATTAATTGTTAATTATATTCTCCACAATGACGATGGTGATTTGGAGTCACTTCTGAACTAACACTGTAAAACTATTCTTAATTTTACCAGGTAAGGCCCACTTAGCTCCGTAGCTCCTGGCCATCACAAATGAGAGCCTCAACGAAGTGGCTCGTCGTGATATGGAAATGTATAGCAGCAACCAAATGCTCTAAACGCATGTAGTAGCTACGGGCCCCGCACTCACAAGGGCCCCACGCTAAATGCTTTCGAGCTAGCAATTCCGGTTCAGCGATTCTGCACTTGCTCTATTACTATAGTACTGTACCGCCTTCAACTTTTACGAACGACTGGGTGTTTAAGGTTAGCGATTCGTCGTGTTATCTGCAAGATGCAAATTTACGTGTTTTAATATTTACGTTTAAAACAAACAAGCAAAAACAAATTGTAGGGCCCCTTTATAACAACAATATACTACAGGCCCCGGCACTCGCTTCATCCGGCACTGGTGCCGAAGGTCGTGGTGCCGAAGGTCGTGGCGTGTCCCATGCCAGCCGTAGCTCTGCCGTCGGCTTCAGCGCGCAGGGCTCTGTCTGCCATGGGTCGTGATTTTATCTTCGTCAACGGTGACCAGCGGGTGGGATACCAATCAGCGGGCGTGACGATGGCGGCGATGACTCTATAACGCCCCTACGGGATTATTTGGTGATCCGTTTTGATTGCAATTATTGAAGGGTCTGCCTTGCGCTCGCTCGCAACTAGGGGCTGTGATGGGCCGAACATGATTTAGTCCGTATGAAGGCGCTGACTCGCTGACGATACTAGAACCGGTTATAACAGCAACCATGAATGATCATTGGTTGTATATATGTAATATTTGTACGTACTGAATATTGGAATGACCAAATTAAATCCACGGGCTGAGAATTAGACAAATCTCACCGGCTGTCGTCGAACTCGATTCGACACTCCGGCTAAAATAAAATAAAACATGAAACGCTTATTAATTGTTAATTATATTCTCCACAATGACGATGGTGATTTGGAGTCACTTCTGAACTAACACTGTAAAACTATTCTTAATTTTACCAGGTAAGGCCCACTTAGCTCCGTAGCTCCTGGCCATCACAAATGAGAGCCTCAACGAAGTGGCTCGTCGTGATATGGAAATGTATAGCAGCAACCAAATGCTCTAAACGCATGTCGATTCTAAGTGTGGAGGGGAAAACCCGGTAGACCCGGAGAAAAATCCACGTGACCATCGGGAGAGACACGCAAACTCCAAATATACAGCAGCAGCAGGCGTCAGGATCGGGATCGAACCCACTACCTCCTGTATACCAGGCGAGGTAGTTAACATCTCCTAGCCACCGTGATGATGATGAGAGAGAGGGAGACACGCAAACTCCAAATAAACAGCAGCAGGCTTCAGGGTCGGGATCGAACCCACGACCTCCTGTATACCAGGCGAGGTAGTTAACATCTCCTATCCACCGTGATGATGATGAGAGAGAGAGAGATAGACACGCAAACTCCAAATATACAGCAGCAGGCGTCAGGGTCGGGATCGAACCCACGACCTCCTGTATACCAGGCGAGGTAGTTAACATCTTTGTACCGCTGCTTTGATGCTTTCTCTCCAGGTTGTCCGGTTGCATCTCGCATGATGCTACAAATGAACGTTCGGCTTCAAGTTCCACCGATCTTTGTTTAATGACTGCGCTCTCTCCAAATAAATTGGCCTCGACGCGCCGCAGAGGAAACATCATAATGCGGCAATAAAAGTATACAAAAGAAATAGATTTAAACACAACTATGGTTAACATACGGCGATTAAATATTGCAGCAACATTTCAAAAGGATAGGTTAACAACAAAAAAAACTAGTGTATAATCTTACTATACATAGAGCAACTTGAAATACAAGATATGAAATAGGAGTCATTGGGGGAATACCCGCGGAGTAAACGAGGGTGGGGTGCCACCCCACGTGGGCTGGGACTTCTCCGGGTCCTGCGATTTCATCTCAAGGACCTTATCGCATCCAGATTCATATCGCAGACTCACTTCCCCCCCCCCCCCGCCGCCTTCCCTCCACGACCATGATAATAGACTCCGGAATAAATGAATGAATCAAAATGTTGTTGTTGTTGGTGTTGGAAGCGTGCCATGCTTCGGAAAAGTAACGAAAAATGTATTTCTTTAAAATAAAATAAAGAAAATTCCTTTCGAATCGGGGGAAGGACAACAAACTGAACACATAAAAGCAGTGCTGAAGAAAATAGTTTTAAATTTAATATAGTAGTGTAGTGTATAGTGTAGTATAGTGTAGTGTGTCGCATAGTCAGTGTAGTGTATAGTGCACCGTACGTAGCCAACCGCGCTAATCGAAGGTGATGATGGATGTCGCTTGTGATTTGTACAATATGTTTAACCTCACGCTATTTATTTTCTTCATTTCAGCAAAACGACGACGAACACATCATCTCTCGACGCAGCCAGGGTAAGATTCCCTGCACGATTAAACGATGGCCCTTAGCACACGAGTCAGGGTCAACTTTTTTTGGGGGGTGGGGGGTAGGGGGTCACCAATGGCCCACGCGCTGGCCGATCGACAGCGAACACGATATGGATCATCGTGGGAGATGCAGGCCTGGGTCTGGATTTGGGTGTCATCACTTCTGGGACACCACCACAGCTGAAAACCTGGACATTGAACCAAACCAAACCTGGAGGTCCAGCACCGGTTCTGAAATTCACCAACGTTCTTGGCCATGAATGGGAATCGGCTCGCCTGGTTCTTAGCACCGCGCGTGTTATAGTAAATGTTCGACCTATAACGTACTGCATCGTATTCGCTCACTCTCGAAGCGAGAGTGTCACTCGGAGACGCGAGGAGGAAGCACAGACGAGCTAGAGGTGGTAACCCAGTGCCAAGCATTGCCGAAACCCCCTGTGGTCCCATCATATATGAAGATGTTATCAGCCAATTAATGGGGATTTATACAAATGGGTTGGGTGGCCAGCATCACGCCCAGACGCCTTTGTTTCCCCAGTGGCGATGTTTTTAAGCACCGCATCAGGTACTCATTTGAGGCTGAGTCGACCTAGGGGAGACGCAGGACCGGTTCAGATAATCGTCGCTGGTGTTGGCCGTGAGCGGGAATCGAACTCGGGTCGCCAGGTTCGTAGCGCAGCGCGCTAACCGCTACACTACCGCTCTCCCCTAAGCGCTACACTACCGCTAGGCAAATACACACAGACAAACGCCAACCAACGTCCATCACGAAGTGGTGGTGACTTCACTACGGTGCTTGTGCCAGCCGAGGTGCCCTTTGAGGCCATGTGAGGTATCAAAGGCTCACTGGCAGGAGGTCATGGAACAGACCCAGGTGTAAGGGGTTGACCGACTGAGACGACTGGCAGATGCACCACCTGTGCTCCCTGCTGTGCCAACTCCGCCCGGTGCTCCGCTCGTTATTGTGAGCGTCTCTGCTCTGCCCTCCGTAGCATCCTTCACGAGCCTCCTTCACAGAGGCCGATCTTGATTCTACTGGTACCAGTCGTTGGAAAGTCCACTCAGATCCACATCTTTCTGTATCACATCAGCCCACCTCTTCTCCATCCCGTGCCGCACCCGTTTAGCCCCCGCTATCCATCCAAGCAGAAGCTGCTTGGGCATGCAGTGGCTGGGCATGCGGACTCTACGTGACCCAACCAATGCAGCCTCCCCTGCCAGAGGCGTTTACTAAAGGGATGGTGTCCAGATATATCAATGACTTGTGAACTCCTCACACAATCCAGTCTGATTAAACCCAGAATGGATCATGGGCAGACCAGCCCGAATGTTTCAGATGTCCCTTTTAAACAGCTCCATATTTCTCGAGCATAGAGAAGGGAGGGGCGTACCTGTGGCCGAGAAGAATCGGAGTTTCATATGGAGCAGTAGGTCAGGTAGCATCCACACAGCGTTACGCAACTGATAAAAATACAATGCCGCTTGACTGATTCGGAGTGAGACCTCCGATGCCATGCCAGAGCCAGTCATTAGCACACTGCTCAAGTAAGGAAACGTCTTCACTCTCATAACAACTGTCCCATTACTTATGGTGAGTGGACGGGATGGAGTATTTGGTATACAGAAAATACCCAGGAAGGTCCTTTGTTTTTGTGGGAAGTATGGTAAGGCCTCACATATTAGTGGCATGCTCCAGGTTGATCAGAAGAGCCTCCGACTCATTTTCAGAGTGAGCAGCGATTATTAGATCAACATACATAACTAGATTTACCAATACAGAGCCATCCCCTCACCACACCTAGGCATAGATCAGTATCTCATTATATCTGTACTACATGGAAATTCATCCAATACAGCCATGGGAAGCCTCTCGAACGACATGGTCAGAGAAGATATTAAATAGTGTATGGGTAAGTGGACATCCCAAGGTGAACAGGGAATGGCTCCAACTCCCAGCCACGGGCCTGCCTACCATAAAGATGGTCCTTAACGATTGTGAACAGAGGGGGTCAGCGACCCCAGAGAGCACTGGCCTATTTATGGTATCGTAGGCCTTGACCAGGTGAATAAAGCAAGATGTTGGTAGGTCCTGTTTACATTCACCTACGCATCTGCTGTAGCAGATCAACAGCAAATATGGCATCTGCGCAGGACCACCCTGGTCTGGAGCCACACCGGGGGGCCTCAGCAATGTTGCGCCCTCGACGAATGTTACGTTTGCCACCCCCCCCCCCTCTAATCAGGCCCCCAGAGTTCAGTGGTGGTGCTGGAAAATTGGGGGCCTCGAAATAAACATTCGTTGGTGGGAGGGGGGGGGGGGCGGCCCTCTTTAAATTAATAACTCAAGATTTCATAATAAAGGCTTTTTTGGGTTAGATCGCCTAAATATATAAACGTGTCGTTAAAACCCGCCACCACCCGACACAGCCATATTCGCTGTTTATCTGCTACATGCCAATTCGTCACTAGTAAAGCACACTGGTGTGTTAGAGAGCCAAGCCACAACATTTACAATCTGGGCTCAAGATTTAAAAGCCAAATTAGTTAGCCAATATGGGATAACTCTGCCAATGTTTTTATTGTAATTCGCTTTTGTAATATTTTAAATTCATAACTCAAGATTTTAAAACACCGAATGGACATCTATTGCAAGTGTGTGTGTGGTTAATGCAGACGTTGACGTCTTTAAAAAGGTGCCCATTTGGATGTTTTAACATCTTAACACCTCCTGCATTATTGCCCGCAGGACCGCATTATCCCATAGGCACGTACAGACACTGTGCCTTGGGCCTACGAAATAAAATGTTGACCCTGTCTTTTTTTGTTGTTTGCATGATAAGAACATTTTTTTACCAAGATTTATAATATAAAAATCTTAGTAAGCATATAGTTGAAGAAATTTTTGCTGAAAAAAGTTTTAGGCTTACCTTGTTTTTTTCTTTCTCAATAATTTCAAATTAAATCTGCTCATCTGACGGCACAGCCTGAACAATGAACACATCAGTAACGACATCTGTCCATCCGTCTGGACGAAGCGAAGTACGCGTGAAACAAGCGGAGTGACAGTGGCGGTAGTAGTGACATGGGGCAGCAGCGGTACCAACCGGAGAGTTTTATCACTGAAGGCCTACGAAATAGAAGTGCCGAGGGCCCTACAAGAAACCTTAATCAGGCCCTGTTTGCCAGAAAAGGTCAAGGCTTTTGTTCCTTTATTGATCATCTTAACACGGGAAAGTAAGGTCCCGTGGACACTTCCATTTTGTTGCGTGAGCCCGGTGCCCTTGAAACAGCTGCAGTCCTGCCCGCGTCTACTTGGGAGGGAGCAATCGGACATGGCCCTAACCTAGGGGTGGCCAAACTGTAACACACCAAGAGCCAAGTGCATATATGCATAATATTTGATCGTACAGTTCGTTCTCTTATAGCGCCGCATAGTTGTCATAACGCGAATTGGATATAACGCAATGAATGTATTAGAGAACGCATTTTTTTATAACGCGGATGCGAATTGGATATATCGCGATTGACTGAATGGAACTACGTCGCAGCGCGAGTAGGAATAAGCGGTCGTACGGCTGCCTCGGCATAGCGTCGCGCAAGGCATTGGGATGCTGCTGGATGCTTCTAGATGCTACCCACGCGTCTCGGTCTTTGTTCGGCCTGCGTCACGTATCTCACGTGTTGTCGTGGACTGTGCTTTGCCCCAATATTATATATCATTTATTATAACGCGATTTTTCTACAATGTGGTGTTCTTCAGGAACACAACGACTACCACCGAGAGCAGACTGTAAAACCTATCGTACAACTTTCAACCATTAATCTTTGCTACTTTTGACAGCACGTCCTACGCTATTCCCCACCCCCCCCCCCACCCCCCTTCGATAGAGCCACGTGCGATTGTTTATTAAAGCGCCTCACACGTGTCTCGGGAAGAGATGCCAGGTTGGCCACCGCCCTGACCCTTGCTGGCCCCACTCTGGCACTCACAGAGTGCAGCGACAAGCAGACGGCCGACCTGTACCTGCTGGTGGACGGCTCCAGCAGCGTGGGGCCCGGCAACTTTCATCTGGTGCTCAAGTTCCTCGCCAAGCTGGTGGACAAGCTGGACATCGGCAAAGACAAGGTTCGCGTGGGCATGGTGCAGTACAGCGGGGACATGAGGAGCCCCAAGATCAAGAAGGAGTTCGACATGGGGCAGTACGCGGACAAGGAGAAGCTCAAGGCCGCCATCCTGGGCACCAAATACATGCGCGGATTCACGTTCACCGGAGCGGCGCTACGGCACACTCTGCAGCTCTTCAAGAGCCAGGGACGCCCCGGAGTCGGCAAGGTGAGCCTCGCGCAGAGGACGGGTGTGAAGGGATCCAAGACGAAAGGCTCGCAAATCCACATTCACCCGTAACGTCACAAAGCCTCGATGCCACAAAATCTTCTTTGTCTCTGCCACAAGTGCCATTCGTAGCGCTCTGGTGTGCTTTTAGCGCATAAAGAACGTCGTTTGGTAAGAAGTCCGACGTATTTCTGCACGTGGTCGGAGCTTTCTCAGGATGATGATCAGATAAGATGATGACGATGACAATAATTAAGACCGGTATGGGATAATGATAACGATTGATTATGCCGATGCTGCCCCCCCCCCCCGCTCAGATCTTGGTGCTGGTGACGGACGGCGAGGCCAACGACAAGGTGAAGGACCCCTCGGACGAGGTGAAGTCGAGCGGCATCGTCCTCTTCTCCGTGGGCGTGGGCAAGGCGGACCGCAAAGAGCTGGCCCTCATGGCGTCTCCGCCCGTCGACAAGCACATGTTCCACGCCACCGACTTCGCCGGCCTCGACTCCATCATCACGGCGCTTACCTCCACCGTCTGCACCGTCGTGCAGGAGGCCAAGGTGGCGGTGCCGGTGACTGCGGCGACCCAGGCCGTCGCCTTGCCGAGTAAAGGTGCGGGTGGCTCTGTGCAGCGCCGTCTGGCATTGAGACGCACTTTCTCAAGGCAGTTTATTCGAACTAGATTCGAAGCTTTCGTGACTTGCAGGAATTACTCTTTGGTTCTTTGGGTTAAAGTGGCGTAGAAAGAAATGTAATTAAATAATAATAGAACACGACGTTTCGATTGCAACACAAGCAACCATGATGAGGTACAAATGAATGAGAAAACAAACCTAGTTAACTTGGAAATATAATGCAATACAACACAGAGAGTCGGCCAACACAAGAGTCAACACCCCACCTGGTTGATTACGTTCTTCCAAAGATTGCTACATTTGAGAGAGACAAAACACAGACACGGAGACACACAGACAGGCACACAAGCAGAGAGAGAGACTCACACAGAGACAAACAGAGAGAGAGACACACACATAGGCACACAGAAAGACAACGTCTCTGTGTCGAGGCCTTAAATAGAGAGAAAGGGGGGTGGGGGGTTGGTGCATAGGAGAAGTTGTGTGGAATTTTATTCTGTTAAGATTTTGCTTCTCTCTTTCTCTTGGCCTTTCATCGTCCTCATTCTTACCAGGCGCCTTGAGACATTGGTGAAAGGCGCCTTACAAAGAAATGTCAATTATTATTATTATTATAATCTCGTCGGGAACTTCGTCACGGAGAGCATTGTCTGCAGTTTTCCCTAAACTGGCTGGTTTTTGGGGTAGTGTGAAGATGATTGCACTCGAGATGGTCCCGATAAACAATGAAACGATCTCATACTAATGATGATGAAAAAAAACGGGGATACAACTACAGAGCGGGGCTCACTGCAACTCGCACCACAGCATATATTATCAGAGCCATGTCTGTTTGCATGTTTTGCCACAAGCACGTGTGGTTAACGCAGACTTGATGCCTTTTCAAAAGTATTTGTGGTTAACGCAGACTTGATGCCTTTTCAAAAGTAGTTTTATTGCCGGAAAGGGGTAAAACCTTTTCTCATTTTGTACATTATTTTTGACACTGGAGAATAGGTTCCACAGGTATCACAACTGCCCGGCCCGAGTTACAAGTGTTCTGATATTTTCACTGTCATTGTACTGTTCGCCTTTTTAGCGTTCTCTGGTCTAACACTGGCGGCGAGACTAGGCCATGAAGAAGGCTGTCTCTGGTGTAGGCCAATCAGTTTCAAAGACAATGCCATACATCATCAATATTCTTGATTTGAAGCTTCCGTGACTGCAGGGATCCATACTCTTTGGTTCTTTCGGTAAAGTCGCGTAGGTAGAAAAATAAAATGAAAGATAATATATCGCGACGTTTCAGCAGTTCCACTGCTGGATTATTATTTTTTCCGCCTGCCGACGGCCGCTTGTGTTGCGATCGAAACGTCGTGATCTATTTCACTTTCTTCTTTTAATTTTCTACCTGCGCGACTTGAGCGAAAGAACCAAAGAGTAATAATAGGGTTTCCCCCCTTTTTTCTGGCAACAAAACTGAAACCTTTTTGCAAAGATTGGTGTGGACAAATCAGTTTCAAGGACAATGCATATATTATCATAACATGTTTTTTGTTTGCATTTTGACTTCAGGTATTGTGGTTAATGCTGACATGAAGACTTGTAAAAAGGTTTCAGTTTTGTTGGCAGAAAAAAGGGGAAAAACCCCTATTATTACATTTTGGTACTGGCAAAGGAGGTCTAATGATGAACCAAGAGTATTATAAATATTATCAGGGCCACGTTTGCTCTGCACGTATTTGCCACAAGTAGGTGTGGTTAATCCAGACTTGATTCCTTGCAAAAAGGTTTCTATTTGGTGTTTGAACATCTTAGCAGCTGGTGTTTTATTGCCAGAGAGGGTTAAAACCTATTCGAATTATTACAAAACTCGGGAATCAGAGATATAGATTTGTAGGGATAGCTACCTCAAAAAAGACAATTTCATGGCCAAACCCGGGACAGGAGGCCTCCCTGGACTCCAGGTCCAGTCGAAAGTGAGGACCCTTTCGAGTTTTAAAGCCAAGAATTCCACCGCCGTCTCTCGCGAGGAGTAAAGCAACTCTCTGCACGTTGAACTTCTTTCACACCGTACGTAGCCAACCGCGCGAATTGGAGGTGCGGGGGAAGGACAACAAACTAAACGCAAAAAGCAGTTCCAGAGGAACGAGTTTATCAATCTAGACGATGATTTAAAAGTTCACAGCTCCAGTGACTTCCTAATATCGGTAGGAAGAGCGTTCCAGACGGCCGCAGAAGCGCATCTGAAAGCGCGCAATGCGGTGACCGCCATCTTTGTTCGATGGTCAGCCGCTAGCGTACTTAGCACTACTTCCAGTTTCTTATGGAGCCGACCTGCAGCCAGGAAACAGCGGTGCCCTGTGCAGACGTGAAGGAAGATGGGGGGGGGGGGGGCATAGAGATTGGTCGAAGAGAAATACTGAGACATGGATTTATATACAAAGGAATGCACGGAGACATGGGGAGCGACACACACACGCACACAGAGTGGGTTAAGGAGAGAGACATCCGGAGAGATAGACACAGAGAGATGTAGATACAGAGAGGGAGATGCAAAGAGACACAGGAGAACGACAAGCAGAGACACAGATGGAGACGCAGAGACAAAGAGCCACAGCTAGACACGGAGCGAGACGTACACGCAGACAGACACGGATTGACGGAGGAACAGGAATGAGGGTTCCTTGCAAGTTTCAAGGAACCATCATTCAGTTGCACACGAGACAACTCTGGTGGTGTGCATGGCACGAGGAGACACCTCATCACCCAATGCCCACATCAGCACGCAATCCAAGAACTGCACCGTCGCTTACAATCGCGCGTTTCCACAATCGCTGCCCATGAAAACTTCACTTTAGAAGACGAGTTGAACGTGTGAAACTAAAAACTATTTTATCTTACCAGATAAGACCCACTGAGCTATTTCGCTCTTTTTTCAGAAGCGACCCGGCCACAAATGGCAGGCCAACGAAGAGGCTCATCACGTGGACATTTTTAGCAGCCAAATACTCCAAACAAATGTTGATTCTAAATGTGGAGGGGAAAATCGGAGGACCCGGAGAAGAATACACGCGACCATGGGGGGAGAGAGAGAGAGAGAGACACTCCAAATATACAGCAGCAGGCGTCAGGGTTGGGATCGAACCCACGACCTCCTGTATACCAGGCGAGGTAGTTAACATCGCGCCGCCGTGGTGCTGGATACCAGCCGTCTCCAGACACACGAAGGCCGTCAAATGCAGGCCTCACAGTGGTCACGCCACTGCACGCACTGGGCAATGCCCACCGTGCCGTGCCCTCCTTGCCTGCGCCTTGCCCCCTCTAATCGCTGTGCCCCCTGCCCCCCTGCCCCACCACCACCACCGCCCATCACACAGAGGTGTGCAGCAGCAAGCAGACAGCCGACCTGTACCTGCTGGTGGACGGCTCCAGCAGCGTGGGGCCCGGCAACTTTCATCTGGTGCTCAAGTTCCTCGCCAAGCTGGTGGACAAGCTGGACATCGGCAAGGACACGGTCCGCGTGGGCATGGTGCAGTACAGCGGGGACATGAGGAGCCCCAAGATCAAGAAGGAGTTCGACATGGGGCAGTACGCGGACAAGGAGAAGCTCAAGGCCGCCATCCAGGACACCAAATACATGCGCGGATTCACGTTCACCGGAGCGGCGCTACGGCACACTCTGCAGCTCTTCAAGAGCCAGGGACGCCCCGGTGTCGGCAAGGTGAGCCTCGCGATGGGATTGTCACCGGTGGCAAGCAGGGAAAGATTTGATCATTATAATGCCCGCCCCCCTCCTCCCCCCCCCCACACACACACACATAATTGGGAAGAAGCACTGGACTCCGAATACGATTTACCACCATTTTTGTCCTCTGTAGACCAAACCCGGGGTAGTTTGTTGTTTCATACTCCGCACCTCCGGTTAGCACAGTTGGCTACGTACGGTGCGAAAAAAGCTCGGCACACACACACACGAACGCATTTCTCGGTCAGGAAGAGGTCTGTGAGCGAAACCGTGCTCGTGTCCTGTGTGACCGGGACCAAAATTCTGGGTGCAAATCAATTCCCGCCACTCGAACGCAGATGGCCAATCCCTGAACTGTTCGGGTTCAAAGCCGGCAGAGACAGGTAGCAATTCTTATTCCGAAGATGCTTTACTCGTGCACGGCGCTCTGGGATAAGCTGTATCCTGGTATTGCCTTGGGGCCATCCATAAATGACGTCACGCACCTAGGGGGAGGGGGGGTCAGACATTTGTGACGATGTGTGACGAGGGAGGGGGGGGTTGAAAAATGTGACGTCACATCAAAATGCGCAACTTTAAATAAATATAGACAACACGTTCTGCTTAAATTTTGATTTAAAGCTTTCGTGACTGCAGCGAGTCATATTCTTGGTTCTTTCGGTAAAGTCACGTTGAAGGGAAACAATAAAATAATAAAAAATATTTATTTTGTAAAATAATCAAATATCTTTATTGTTTTATATATTTTATTATTTTATTGTTTCCCTTCAACGTGACTTTACAGAAAGAACCAAGAATTCGTTCTACTTAATTAAATATACGTTTTAATAAATGTTTTCTCCCACAACATCAGAATGCAGCGCCACATTAAACACGCACTACAATGACAATAGTTTAAAGCGATTTGAAGCATGTTTTATTTTTTTTAGGGGGGGGGGCAAAGCTTTGTGACGTCATATTTGAGGGAGGTCTGACTTTTTGTGACGTCGTGTGACGAAGAGGGGGGGGGGTGTAAAAATTGTCCAAACTCGCGTGACGTCATTTTTGGACAGGCCCCTTGGACATGCGGGGAGGTGGTGGTGGTGATTAATGATGATGGTGACGATGATGAGAATGAGTGCACTGCTGATATAACAGCGCATTGAGGCTGCTAGGGTGCGGTGTGGCGCTCGTGGTTTAGCGGACTGCGTTATGAACCTCGCCACCCAAGTTCGATTCCCACTCACGACCATGACCGGTTGTGAATATCTGAACCAGTCTATGACCCTCCCTCCCTCTTGTTTAACTCAGCCTCAAACGAGTACTCTGGTGCGATTGATTATGCCGATACTACTTTATCTCCGCCCCCCCCCTCGCCCCACCGCATGATGATTGATGTAATGATGATGCTGAGTGTTAGATGATGATGATGATGTTGTTGGTGATCATATGATATGATGACGATTATGACAATAGTTATGCTCGGTATAGGATAATGATAACGATTGATTATGTCTACACTGCCATATCTCCCCCGCCCCCCCTCCCCCGCCCCCCGATGATTGATGTAATGATGATGATGTGTTAGATGATGATGATAATGTGGTTGTCGTTGATCATACATGACGATGACAATAATTACGATCGGTATGGGATAATGATAACGATTGATGATTCCGATGCTGCCGTATCTCCCCCACCCCACCCCCCCCCCCGCTCAGATCTTGGTGCTGGTGACGGACGGCGAGGCCAACGACAAGGTGAAGGACCCCTCGGACGAGGTGAAGTCGAGCGGCATCGTCCTCTTCTCCGTGGGCGTGGGCAAGGCGGACCGCAAAGAGCTGGCCCTCATGGCGTCTCCGCCCGTCGACAAGCACATGTTCCACGCCACCGACTTCGCCGGCCTCGACTCCATCATCACGGCGCTCACCTCCACCGTCTGCACCGTCGTGCAGGAGGCCCAGACCCCGGCGCCGACGCCACCGCCCGGTGGGTGACCGCGCTGTGCCCGCCGGCTCTCGGCGGCGTCATCATCAACCACCACCACCCTCCCTATCCCCTAAGCCACAACGTTGAACAATCTGAGTACGACGCCTCGCCGGCGATTAGAAACTAGCGAAACGTCGCACTTGGCTTGCATCTCCAACACACGGCCGGTTAGTGCTGTGCTGGTGACGAATATTGGCCACGTTCTGTTTACGTGACACAACCCTTACTGGTTGGCTGTGTCGGGTGGTGGCGGATTTAAACGACACAACATTTATATACTTTTTGGTTATTTCGGTAAAGTCACGTAGGTATAATAAAATAAGAGATCAAAATTTTTTTTATGAATAAATAAAAGTACATTTCATCACGACGTTTCGATTGCAACACAAATGTTATAGCTGTAATTTTCACACCTGATGATGATTGCTTGTGTCGCGATCGAAACGTCGTGATTTAATTTACTTTCATTTATTTATTTTCCATTTCTATTTTTATCTCTTATTTTTATTTCATTTAATTTTTCACCTACGTGATTTTACCGAAATAACCAAAGAGTATGGATCCTTGCAGTCACCAAAACTTCAAATCTATAACGACACATTTAAATATTTACACGATCTAACCCGAAAAAAACCCCGCTCTGTTCTGGATCATATTGGTCTCGAAAGCCTGCTACGGTGTTCATCTGCACCCCCTCCTTCTCCCCTCCCCCGTCGCTTGCCGCTTTGTACCGGGCTCTTGTTTTAAACAAAACAAAAACCTCTTCATCACCGCCGTCGCTATCTCCACCGCCAGGTCCATTCGCCAAGCTGGACGTGATCTTCGCCATCGACGGCTCGGCCGGCGTCGCGGCCGCCGACTTCACGCTCATGAAGGGCTTCGTCGCGCAGATCGTGCAGGGCCTCAGCGTCGGGGCGGCGCAGGTCCGCGTGGGGCTGGTGCAGCTGAGCGGCAAGCAAGGGTCCGAGTTCAAGCTGGGGCAGTTCTCCAGCCGGCAGGAGGTGGTCGCCGCCGTGGGGAAGGTCTCCGCGCACGGCGGCGGCAGGGCCATCGGCGCCACCGTGCAGTTCGCGCTCGCCACCGCCTTCTCGCAGGCAGAGGGCGGCAGGGCCGGGGAGGGAGTGCCGCAGGTGAGGCAGCGTGCGGGATGTGGTGGGGAGGGTGGGGAGGGGTGGGGTGGGGGGGGTTCCGTGATTGACAGGGGAGGGGGAGGGGTCCGTGATTGACAGGGGAGGGGGGTTCCGTGATTGACAGGGGAGGGGGAGTCCGTGATTGACAGGGGAGGGGGAGTCCGTGATTGAAAGGGGAGGGGGAGTCCGTGATTGAAAGGGGAGGGGGAGTCCGTGATTGACAGGGGGAGGGGGGGTCCGTGATTGACAGGGCAGGGGGGGGGGTCCGTGATTGACAAGGGAGGGGGGGTCCGTGATTGACAGGGGAGGGGGAGTCCGTAATTGACAGGGGAGGGTCCGTGATTGACAGGGGAGGGGGGTCCGTGATTGACAGGGGAGGGGGGTCCGTGATTGACAGGGGAGGGGGGGGTCCGTGATTGACAGGGGAGGGGGGGGTCCGTGATTGATGGGGGGGGTCCGTGATTGACAGGGGAGGGGGGTCCGTGATTGACAGGGGAGGGGGGTCCGTGATTGATGGGGGGGGGTCCGTGATTGACAGGGGAGGGGAGGGGGTCCGTGATTGACAGGGGGGGGTTCTGTGGTTGGCGGTGATGATGGCGGTTTTCGTTTGCAATAAGTTCAACATACGCATACACATACACTAAGTTCAACATACGCACACACATACACTAAGTTCAACATACGCACATATCACGGCTGCAGTGGTGGTAACGCTGCCATCACCAAGTCAAGTAGGGAGACTATCGTGGCCAATTAAAAAAACCGTCGAAACCACGACACCCGGGGCACCCACTCCAACCTGCACTGCCCAGCGTGCTTGAAGTGTGCTGACACATTGTGTCAAATGTCGTGTCGCTGCTGCTCCTGTTGGCGATAATGCTTCTTCTGCTTCTGCTGCTGCTCCAGCTCCAGCTCCAGACGCCGTCGCTGACCCCTGGTGCTGCCGCTGTCCTCTGACCATTCCCTCCGCCGCTCCTACACCACCCGCAGGTGCTGGTCATCATCACGGGCGGCGCCTCGTCTGACGCCGTGGCCCACTACCGTGGCCTGTTGCGAGCCCATGGGGTGCGCTCCTTCGTCATCGGCATCGGCGCCTTCCAGCTGCTGGACCTGCAGCGCCTGCCCAGTGACCCCATCGGCCTGCACCTCTACGCCGTGGGCGGCTACGCGCAGCTGTTGGGCATCGCCGGCCAGGTCACCTCCGTCATCGTAAGGCCAGGTGAGGTGACTTCTTCTTTTTTTTTGTTCGTGACTATTTTCCGTTGTTATTTTTTTTTACGGGAAGGTGCCAACTGAGCTACGTAGCTCCTTTTCGGAAGCGGCCTGGCCATCACGGATGATAGATGGCCCGAGGCAGTGGATTATCGTCATCGTGTGGACATTTATATCATCATCATCATGTGGACATTTATAACAGACAAATACTCTAAATGCACCTGGATTCTAAATTTGGGGAGTTGGGGGGGGGGGGGGGGGGGAATCCACACGGCCATGGGAAGAACACGCAAACTCCAAATATAGAGCAGGCGTCAGCATGGAGATTTAACCCACGACTCGCTGTATACCAGGCGAGGTAGTTAACAACACGCCAACGTGGGAACGGAGCCTTGGGGCCGCGGGTGAAGATGCGGGCGTGCCTCGATATGCGGAACAGATACGTTCGTGAAAATTTGCCCGCAAAGTTAATTAATTCCGTACGTCGAAGCCTGTTTTCACATCAGTGTTCAATATAGAACTGGAGTAGCGTTCCTATGGAACATGTTTTGGCTCTGAGTTGTCGTAAAATGACACTTGAAAATGCATCCAAACCTTTTTGAAACACAAGCTTAATGGAAAATCGAAAACCTTACGATAACTCATTCATAGCGCGGCAATGCCCCGGTATACATCGCCCCCCTATTAACGTCGTTTTGCAAATCCGTAGTCACTTTCTTATTAACACCACTACCCAGGTTCGTCCGCATTGAAACGGCTGTACGCCGTATGGACCTGAAAACTCACTTTCCCTGCACAACAATGCGGGGCGAACCGTGATGCGTTGACACGGTACCCTTCTTACGGGACACCACGGCGATCGCCGCTGTGGCATAGCGGTGGCGTCTGGGGCCACTTTCACCGAAGAAAACGTTCGGACAAAGGGTGAACCCCTGCACAGTGCAGTGCGCTATGTGGAAATTCCTTCGCTCCCTACGCAGCCGACCGTGCTAATCGGAGGTAGCCGGGCGTGATCGGCACGAGGGGACGGAAGCAAAACGAGGCCGAGCTTTGGCCGCAATAACTCGGGAAACCCCAGCGCGGCGTTGAAAGCGTTTCCCGCGCGCAAAAACCACGGGGAGAGGCACGAAATGCACGCTCGGACAAACGATAGGCCGTTCCAATCGTTCGATTCATTTTTTTTCTCTCCCCACTCCCCGAAAGCGCATGCAATTTTTTTTCCCTCTCATTCAAGAGATTCAAAATGCCGTAATTTCGTTCCCGAATTGACAAGTTGCGTTCACGAGGGGCATTCTGTATACTGAGTGGACGTGTAACGAGGGAAGACCGTCCATCTTTTCCACCAGGGCAGCCTCCTGCTATTTTCTTTCTTGAGAACTGCTTTCTGTGTTTAAAGTGTCGTCCTTCACGCACACCTCTGATTAGCGCGGTTAGCTACGTGCGGTGCTAAAATAAGTTCAACATTCACAGATGCGCTGTTGTGTCTCTCCAAGTCACTCATCGCCATTCTTCACTCCCACGTGCTCCCGTTGTCCTACATCTTCCCCTCGTCTTCCTCCACCCCCCCCGACCCCACAGCGATATCCCTGGACTTGGTGTTCATGGTGGACGGCTCTCTGGGCGCTGCGTGGGGGGCTGTCAGGGCCTTCGTGTCCCACCTGCTCCTCTACGTGCAGGGCGGCGGGGGTGTCCTGCGCGTCGCGTTTGTCCAGTTCGCTGGCGATGTCACCGTCGAGGTGTGTGTGCGTGTGTGTGCGCGTGTGTGTTGAACTTCTTTCGCGCCACCGCACGCAGCCAACCGTGCTGATCGGATGGTGCGGGGGAAGGACAACAGACTTCGCGCAAAAATTCGCTCTGAAGAGAATGTGTTTTTAATCTAGATGATTTAAAAGCGCATGGCTCCAGTAGCAATGACTCTAGGGGCAAGTGCTGTTAGCGAGCACCTATATAGGCTGGCACGGCACACGAGGGGGTGGGTGGCCAGCACCGCGCCTGGCCGCCTTTGTCTCTCCAGTGGCGATGTTTACACACCGCACAAAGCGCTCATTTGAGGCTGAGTCGACCTAGGAGAGGCCCAGGATCGGTTCAAATAATCGTCACTGGTGTTAGCCATGAGCGGGACACGAATTCGTGTTGCTGGGTTCGTACTGCTGCACTACCGCATGCACAAAGACAAAGATCCCCCATATAGCCTTAACAGACTGTTGGCACAAGTGCTGTCAGTGAGCACCTACCTCACTGAGCCGACACGGCACACGAAGCGAGGTGAGTGGCCAGCACCGCGCCCGGCCGCCTTTGTCTCCCCAGTGGCGATGTTCACACACCGCACCAGGGTACTCATTATGAGCACGAAGCCGACCTAGGGGAAGCCCAGCACCGGTGCGTTTGTGTTCCCCCCGCTCCACCGCGCGCCCCCGTGCAGCTCTACCTGGACCAGGGCACGGAGGTGGCTGCGGTGCTCGCCAAGCTGCAGTCCGTGCAGCAGCTGTCGGGCGCCGGTGGACGCAACCTGGGCAAGGCGGTGAGCTTCGTGGGCGGCACGGTGCTGTCGGCAGCCAAGGGCGGGCGCGGTGCTGCCGGCGTGAACCAGGTGAGCGCAACCGGTCGCGCCACACCGGCAGCCGGTGGGCGTAGTCACGACGTTATCGATTCAGGGGGTGCGGCCGATCGATCAGGTAGCCCCCCCACCAATATTTGATTCAACCACAGGTCAGGACACGTTTCAGAATTATTTGGACTAGAGGAGGAATCCGATGAGCTATGGAGCTCTTTTCCGCAGCTGTCCAGTAGGGGCACGGGGTCAGCAAGCTACAACAACAAAGAAAACAAAAAGGGTCACCTTCGACGTCCTTGACGCTCCCGTGTGAACACCGAGTAATTACCCGCGGGCCCATCGGCTCACGCGCACGGAGCCCCCCACAATTCTTACCGGAGCGCCTCTCTCTCCCTCTCTCTCTCACCTCGATGACCGCGACGACCTCCCGTGCGCAGGTGGTGGTGCTGTTCGTGGCGGGCCCCTCCACAGACGAGCCGTCCCAGGCGCTGTACGCGCTCAAGGCGTCCGGCGTGCGGGTCCTGGCGCTGGACCTTGGCGGGCTGGCACTGGCTCAGCTGGGCGGCCTCGTTAGCACGCCCTTCAACCTGCACTACTACAAGCTGTCGGGCGGAGCGCAGGTGCTGCCGCTCGCACTGGGCAGGATCCTCCACACCTCGCTCTATGCAGGTGAGAGCTGCAGTTGATCATCGATTATCCGGCCGGGCGATTATCCGGCTGCTTCCAAGCATTGTCCGGCGGTCCCGGGCCGATCCGGCGAAACCGGCAACGTCTCTCCAAAGGCTGTAGCCCAGTCCGGCGGTCGTCAAACTCATGGTTGTTGAAACAAGAGCGTAGTGCGTACATCACCCCATGCAGAGTCTTCAAGATTGGAGTGGTAAGTAGGGTAGAGTAAGAACAGTAACTTTTTACAGAAGGTCATTTATTTTTGTATAGTAAACAATTTTAAAACACAAAAAAACAGACACAAAACATCAAGAATGTGCATAACATGTTTTTAAATAACGACGTAGTGATTAGCTGGTGGTTTTTGCATATTCGGCACCCCCTTCCCACTGAAGCCGCTGGCTAATCGATGATCGCCTATATCATTGTCGTCATCACGATCCATGGGGCAGATAGCCCTGTAGGTTTTCCTCTGCACGTTTCATCATTCGTTTCCACTTTACTCTCTGTCTTGTGTCAGTATGTTCAAGTAGTGGCCACATCTTTCTGGCACCAATCCATATACCGTGTCAACCCGTACGGTTTACCCCACGTGTTCTTGTACGGGGAAATTTAGTTCTCAGGTCCATACGGCGTACAGCCGTTTCAATAGGGGCAACAACATGTTTTTTTTTGTCTATTTGTTTGTGTTTCTCCCTTGTGATGGGACTTTGTAGGATGAATGTTGAGATCTATAAGGGCACGGGGTAACCAATACGGTCTGTATTGTCTGTGAAACTACGTTATCAGAGCGTGTTTGTTTGCATGTTCACCGCAAGTACGTGCGGTTAATGCAGTAAATGATTCCTTGCAAAAGATTTCTATTTGGTGTTTGTACATCTTAACACCACCTGCTTTATTGCCATAAAGCAGGGGTCGGGAACCTTTTTGACTAAGAGAGCCATGAAAGCAAAAAATTTGGAAATTTATTTCAGTGAGAGCCATATAATATATTTTAAAAGTGAATTCAACTAAATGTCAGTATAAGCCTCTGAATTTATTCTTTTAAATAATGTTGTTATAACACTCACCATTAATGCGACTTCTGGTGCTGCATGGATTTGCTGATGTCTTTGTAGTCGGGTTGGTACTTGGTGAGGTTAAGCTTCATGCAAGCGTTGAGGCTTTCATCCGTTAAACGTGATCGTAGGTTGGACTTGATGTTTTTAAGATGTGAGAATGACTGCTCACATGCATACGTAGATCCAAACATGGTCAATACAGCAATACTCACACGCTGCAGTGTGTGGTATGTGACAGGAAGCGCGTTCCAAGTTTTGAGAATCAGCTGGTCTTCGGGTTGGAGTTTTTTCATTTCTGTCCACATGTGCTTGCTCGCCAACTCCGCTTTCTGTCGTGTGATTCTTTCCAAATCTTCATTCAGTGACTTGAACTTATTCACCCACATGTCTGAGGCCTTCAGGTCAGCCACTTCTGCTTCAAAATCTCTGACGGAGACACCAGGGATGTAATTCAGGTCGGCTGTGTTCAGTGAACACTCGTTTGGATGGCTGATGAACTTAAAAAGACGAGTGTGCTCACGAAATTCTCCAAAGCGTGCTTTGAAGGACTGTAGGAGACTGGATGTGCAGCCAGCTAGCTGGTGGAGATCAAGGTTTTGAATGGGCTCACTTGCTGTGCATGCATCTTTAAATTGGCTCAGTTTTTCAAAATGTAGTAAACGACCTGTTTCAAGATCCGTGATGAAAAGCTCCAGCTTGTTTTCAAAAGCAAATACAGCTTGTTGAAGGGATAACACTGTATTTCCAATGCCTTGCATTTTCACGTTGAGCTGGTTCAGATGTTCAGTCAGATCTACGAGATAGTAAAACTTGAGGAGCCACTCGGTGTCGGCTAGCTCAGGATGCCCGACGCCTTTCATTTCAAGGAAAGTCCGGATTTCGTTCAGGCAAGCCGCAAAACGGCTAAGCACCTTCCCTCTTGACAACCAACGCACATTGCTGTGCAAAAGCAGACCAGGATAGTTATTTACAACTTCATCCAGCAGTGTTTTATACTGGCGATCATTTAAGGCTCGGGCAACAATAAAGTTGATCACACGAATGACCAGCGACATCACTTCGCCAAACTGCCTGTCACACATCTGAGCACAAAGTGCCTCCTGGTGTATAATGCAATGGAAACTTAGGATGGGTCTATTTTCATGTTCACGGAGAAGCGCCACAAATCCTTTGTTTTTCCCCACCATACACGGAGCACCATCAGTACACACTGAGAGAAGTTTATCCATAGGTAGACTTTTTTCTTGAGCAAACTCCATGAAAGACTTGAATAAATCCTCACCTCTTGTGGACCCTTTTAATGGCAGAACAGCAAGACTTTCTTCGCGCAGTGTGTCACCAACAGCATATCTTGCAATCACGCTGAACTGCGACAAATGGCTCACGTCTGTTGACTCATCCAAAGCCAGAGAAAAGAACGGCGCTGCATTTATGTCCTTCACTTGCGTTTCCTCCACTTTGTTTGCCATCACGATGGTACGATCATGAACAGTTCTTGCCGACAGAGGCATGTCTTGTATCCGTTTGATTATCTTGTCTTTGTTCGGAAGATCATCAAAAAGTTCATTGGCTACATCCAGCATGAACGTTTTAGCATACTCGCCATCTGTGAATGGTTTTCCGTTCCTCACTATTGCTAAAGAACCAGCAAAGCTAGCCGAATTATAGTCACCTTGCCGGGTCCATACGCGGAGTTGCTGCTGGCTAGCTTGCACCCTGCTCAGAAGCTCTTGGCACGCTTTCTTTCTGCTGTCTCCCGCAGGGTATTTTGATGCAAAGGTAGCGTGGCGCGTGTCGAAGTGCCGCTTTACATTCGACCGTTTCAACGATGTAATTTTGTCATTGCAAATTAGACACACCGCAGAACCCGCTCTCTCCACAAAGGCGAATTCTTCAGTCCATTCGTCCTGAAATGTACGATACTCGTCGTCTTTTTTTCTTTTCGCCATCTTCTTCGTCGAAGGGTTAGCTTTGAGCTAATGACCGAGCAGACGCAGTCTCAGACTGATTCAAAAGGGGGCGTTTACCTGTTTTACCCAGCAACGGCAAACGTAGGCCAGTATCATCCAATTAAAATAATGGACAATTGCTCCTGCAGCCCTGAACAGGACATGCGCAGTGAAAAATCGATGGATGGATTAAAACAAGTGAGAATATTTTGTTTTATCTGCGAGCCATATGCAATCATCAAAAGAGCCACATCTGGCTCGCGAGCCATAGGTTCCCGACCCCTGCCATAAAGGGTAAACCCCTATTATTATGACACGACACGAACTCTCTCTCTCTGCTGAAGCCCTCTTGTCGTGGCCAGCAGCGGACCACATCGCCGTTGCACCTCCGATTAGCACGGTCGGCTACGTACGGCGCGAACGAAGTTCAACGCGCGTGCATACTGTACATACACGAGGGCAGAACAGAATGAGAGCGCTGGATGGGAAGCGCAGCAGCTCCACCAGACGAGATGTCGTCCCCCTCCACCACCAACCCCCCATCCACCATCCACCTCGCTCTACCGACAGGTGTGACGCGCGGCGCCCAGTACGCCGACATCGTCTTCTACCTGGACAGCTCGGCCACGCTGGGCGAGGCCGGCTTCGTGTCCCTCAAGGCGTTCCTCGTGCAGGTGCTCTCCTACCTGCAGGTGGGGCGCTACACGGTGCGCGTGGCGGTCGTGCAGGTGGGCGGCGCGCCCGTCGCGGCCTTCCAGTTCAACTCGCACTCCGAGAGGAGCGCCCTCGTCGCCGCCGTCTCGCAGCTCAAGGCGGTGGGCGGGGCCAGGAACGTGGGCGCGGCGCTCTCCTTGGGCTACGCGACCTACGTCTCGCAGGCATCCGACGCCGGCCTGCAGGTGCGTCCTGGTCCTGTAAGGGGGTCCTTTTCCCGTCGCCCGCTTTCGGGCTTTGTGCTTTCGTGCTCCGATTGGCACGGTTGGCCGCGTGCCCGTGGTGCGAAATAAGTTCAGCAAACAGACGTGCATCAACATACACGCATACAATTTGGCCCGCGCACACACACACACACGGTGACCTCGCGAACCTGTTCCGCGTGCAGCCTGCCCAGGTGGGGATCCTGCTGACGGGCGGCGCGTCGGCCGACAACGCGGCCAAGGCCGCGGCACAGCTCCAGGCGAGCGGCGTGCGCCTCTTCGTGGTGGGCGTGGGATCCGGCGTGGACCAGGCCCTGATCCAGGGCGTGGCGTCGTTCCCGTACGCTCTGCACTCCTTCACGGTGTCGGACTACACGGGGCTCAGCACCGTCGTCGTTACCAGCCTCGTCAAGTACATCTTCCGGCCCGGTGAGACCCCCGCCCGCCCGAGAGGCCCGGATTCTAACCCTTTGCGTGCAAGAAAAATGGGCGCGGCACTCGCAAGTTGCCTTCAGACTCCGCTGCTGCCGGAAGGGGCCTCGATGATGTCGAATATATAATGTGTGTATGTTGAACTTCTTTCGCACCGTACGTAGCCAACCGTGCTAATAGGACGTGCGGAGGAAGGACAACAAACTAAACATAAAAAAGCAGTTGTAAAGAAATTAGTTTCAATCTAGTACAGCAACTTCTATTTGGTCTCCGGCGGAAAAATGTTCCCATTACGAACTACCAGTAATTCAGGGCTATAAGCTGAGATTCAGATAGTACAGACAGCAGCAAGGATGAATGTTTACACGTGCCATCGATTTTAAGCGTAGCCTACTGCGCGCCAAAATAATTAGTTTGTCCTTCAAATAACCAGGGCGGAAGTACCGTGCCTGTGTTAGACACCACACCTACAGTACTCCTGGGTCATAGACCACACCAACAGCACACCTGTATCACAGTCCATGCCTGCGCACACCTATGTCATAGTCCACGTCTATAGCACACCTGTTGTCACAGTCTATGCCTGCACACACCTGTGTCATAGTTCACACCTGCAGTGCATCCGTGTTCAATACAGATCACACAAGATTGTCACAGCTGTGCCCTGAATGCAACTGAAAAGTCACCCCCGATTAACGTGTGTCTCACCCCGCCCTGGCAGTGGTCTCCGGCGACCTCGTGTTCCTGATCGATGGATCGACAAGTGTGGAGCAGCAGACGTTCCACTTGATCAAGAAGTTTGTGGAACGGATCATCACAAATTACTACTACATAGGGGGCTCTCTGCGGGTGGCCGTCTACCAGTTCGGCGGCGCGGGCCGCCTCGAGGTACCCTTGGGCAATCAGAATGACGCCGACAGCCTCACGCACACCATCAGCAACATCGAGAAGGTCTCGGGGCCACGGAACCTGGGTGCGTCGCTCACCTACGTCCTTAGCAACATCTACAAGGAAACCACCACCACCAAGCTCTCCCAGGTGTGTGCATTGGTGGTATGCACCACGCGCCTATACTACACACCACGGTGGAGAGATGTTAACTACCTCACCTGCTATACAAGAGGTCGTGGGTTCGTTCCCGACCCTGACGCCTATATATTTGAAGTTTGCATGTTCTTCCCATGGTTGCATGGTTTTTCTCCGGGTCCTCTGATTTTTCCCTCGACATTTGGAATCAACAGCGTTTAGAGTATTCGGTCGCTATAATTTTCCACGTGAAAAAGCCACTTCGCTGAGCTATAAATTGTGGCCACGTTGCTTCTGGAAACGAGTAAATAGCTTAGTGGGCCTTACCTGGTAAAATATGAAAATAGGTCAATATCATTGTCCGTGAAATTTGTGATTCACTAGTGTCTCCAGAACCTACCCCTCGCGAATGACAAAGGGAAACGCTACGCCTCGCGGAAAGTACGATGCTGAGAAAAACAAACAACGATGGTAACCCTACGAGAAACAATGAGCGGCCTAAACTAAGCAATGTTTATTTTACCAGGTAAGGCCCACTGAGCTGTATAGTTATTTTTTTTTAAGAAAACGACCTGGCCATCACACATTTCAGCTCAACCAAGTGACTTATCATCACGTGGAAATGTACAGCAGGCCTGATGTTGGCGTGTCGGAATCGGTGCCGTGCAGAGCATCTTCATCATTTCCGGGGGGAAGTCGGACGACGACGTGACGGGGGCGGTGCAACTGCTGCGAGAGCGTGGGATCACGGTGACGGGTGTGGGCCACACGTCGTCCCAGCTCGACGCCGTCGTCAGCACCTCGTCTCACTGGTTCAAGTTCACGGAATCCAGCACCATCCTCAAAAGCTTTTACAATGTCATCAGCGGTCTCTTCTTCACGGGTACGTGGTTGAAAGATGATGATTTGTATTCATAGAGGGGGGCTACGCTTTTGCAACTCAAAGTACCTTGCATCACTTGCAACCATTCCGAAGCGAAACTGAACGATGTTTGTTTAACCAGGTGAGGCCCACCGAGATTTATTGCTATTTTTCAGAAGCGACCTGGCTATCAAAAATGATAGCTCAATGAAGTGGCTTATCACGTGCAAATGTATTGCAGCCAAAGACCCAGAGCAAAATCCACGTGCATCACGGGGAGAACATGCAAACTCCAAATATAAAGGCATCAGAGTCGAACCCACAACTTCCTCTATACCAGGCGAGGTAGCTAACATCTAGCCACCGTGGCAGTGTGCATCAGGGGTGGGGAAGCTGTTCCGTACTGGGAGCTGAAAAAGGCTTCAAAATACAAACGAACCTCATCTTACTTGACACTAAGCTCTGATCAAGCTAAGGCTGGGACGTGTTGACTGTGTGCTCAGAACGACCTAGAAGACAGCCGGGGTGCATTGATTGGGCCAAAGTGCTCTGCCGTGGTGGTGTTACTTGGCGGACGTTAGCTCTTGTTGAACCTTGCGCGAGGGCGCCGAGAGCCTCGCAACGGCAGTGTGACGTCATGGGTCCGCTCAGCCAATGAGTACGCGCGTTGCATCTGCGAATCGAGAGCTCACAGGAAGGTAGGGCGCCACCCTCGTCCAATTGGCTGGATTGTGACACGCCCACCACGACCTAACGCTCAGCGAAGAAGCTCCTCGGACCAAAAGCTCCTGTTACGATGGCGTGTTCTGGGCTGCTCATAATTTTGATTTGAAGCTTTCGTGACTGCAGGAATCCATACTCTTTGTTTCTTTCTGTAAAATCACTTTACCGAAAGAACCAAAGAGTATACTCATATTTTATTTTGCTCGCCTCCAGCCCACGCCCCCACACTCACCCTGACCCCCCCCCCCCCCCCCGCAGCTATATAATCCCTCGTCACAGCCATCTCTTAGGCATACGTCAGCGATTGTTTTTTCGCTGTGTTTTGTCTCCACCTGAAGACGGACGCTTGTGTTGCGCCCGAAACGTCGCGATTTAATTTAATTGTTTTCATTTTAAATGTATTTAATTTTTTGCCTACGTGACTTTACCGGAAAAAAAAACAAAGAATATAGTATGCTCATAATTTGTTCAAAAGAAAAGCACTCTGGAGTGCTCTGGCCATTGATGAACGCACCCCAGTGACTGAGCATTCTCGATTTACATACACAATGCCAGCTCGAACACATTTCTCTCTATTACCAGATTGGCTAGTCAATCAGCAGGCTGCCTTTAGTGGGGTAAAGTGTGGACGTACCTCTACAATTTGTCTGGCCATTGTGGAATACCCTCTCGATGGGCCCTTCCTCCGGCAGTGGCATGAACAAGCAACTTCTGAGCTTCACGTTTACATCGTACTTTTCTGGTGTGGCTAAGACACTTTCATAGGTGGCAGGCGTCGTGTCGCCGGAGACAATATGAAATGATGTTCGACCATGGAACTCGAGTTTGCCCATCCCTGTCCTACTCTTCCGGAGTGCCCTTCTCTCGTTACAGCCCATGGTGATGGCATCTTCTTGATTTCACAGTGCCCGTCGTGCCGATACCCAAGACCACGCAGGCTCCCACGACCGCTACCACAACCACAACCAAAACAGCACCAACGACTACTACGCTAGCACCGACCACTCCAAAACCCACAACGAAGCCTGCTCCCGTCACCACGGTCGTTCCGGTGACTGTTCCGTCACCATATAACAGCGGTGAGTGAGGATGTTTGGATAAATGTGCACAAAAGCGTCGGTTTGATGTATGTATGTTGAACTTCTTTCACACCGTACTTAGCCAACCATACTAATCAGAGGTGCGGGGGAAGGACAACGAACTAAACACAAAAGCAGTGCTAAAGAAATTAGTTTCAATCTAGATTTAAAAGTGTGTAGCTCCTTCCTAATATCGGAAGAGCATTCCAGGTGGCCGCAGAAGTGCGTCTGAAAGCGTGCGATGCGTTGACCGTCTTTGTTCGATGGCTTAGCCATGTGATGGTTTATGCTCCTTGACAAGATCGGCAAGGTATTGTGGTTCATTTGCGGTAAGCAATGATGATGCCCGAGGTGCGCTGGCATTGTTATTTATTTTGTTACCGGCGTCAGTTCAAACGATGGGACGAGATTTTTTATTTGTTCAATCCCCTACCCACATTCGTTTTCCCATCAGTACTAATTCGTACACCACAGGCGATCAGCAAGTTGCCTACGTTTCGGTTAAGACGTCGGGACTCCTGAGAGTTTCCTCTAGCCAATGGTCTTCCATCAGCACTGGTGTGACCAAGCAATTGTAGGGCTGTATCTTTTTTCCGATAGGCCTCATCAGGATGAGGATTTTGAGCACATATTTTCACTTGCCTGTTCCTGCTGTTTGTAGAGTGCATCAGTTAGCCAACGTGCACGAGTACCACCGGACATGCCGCGATCGTTATTCTCGCCACTTTACAGACAATCGCTACGGTGACGTGGTGTTCGTGGTGGACGGATCTTCCGGCATCTCAGCGGCCGACTTCGGGACCGTGCGGACGATCGTCTCCCAGATAATTACGGGGCTGCAAGTGGGGCCGGACAACACGCGTGTTGCGCTCGTGACCATTGGGGGCACTCCCAAAGTGGACATCTTCCTCAACTCGTTATCCGGAAAGGCCGAGCTGCTGACGGCCGTAGAAAAGTTGGTGCCGGTCGGAGGGCCGCTCAACCTGGGTGCAGCTCTGCAGGTGGTGGTCAACAGCGTCCTCAAGCCTGAGAAGGGCTCCCGCATTCACCTTGGAGCTCCCACGGTATGATCGGTCTTCCTCTGTACGGGAAAAAGTGTCCAGCTCTGAATTTAACTGCTTTTTGTCTTTAGTTTGTTATTCTTCCCCCGCACCTACGATTAGCGCATTTGGCTCCATACGGTTTGAAAAAGTTCAAAGTATACATACATAAATTAGCTGAATTACATCTGCATTGCTGAGGGTGATGGTCTAACTGGAACCATTGTCTATTGATCTTCGAGGCAAAATAGTTTGAACGAGTATTTTCTGGGGCCAAAAAAGTTAATCTCCCTGTCTTTCTGGATAATTATAGCTATTCAAGGATCTGTAAGGTCTACCTGGCTTACTCGTGGTTGATTGGAACTTGCGCAAAGAGAGTACCCCAGATTGGGCAGCCAATAGGAACGCGCTTGTCTTGTAGACGGACTGGCCCAGGTTGAAGTTGAGGAATGGACTGGAATGAGGACCAGGGTCTCTTATCCTCAGATCATTGTACAAACTGGAACTCTCAAACCAGTGCAGTTGTGGTAATTATGCGGTGCTGAAGTTGACCACCTGGTGATGTACTGCAGATGCTGGTGACGATCCTTGGCGGCAAACCAGCCGACGATGTTTCGGGGTCGGTGGTGACACTGAACGGGCTGGGGGTGCGTCACGTGGTGCTGTCGGGCGGGTACCAGGACACAAAGGTGCTGAACAGCATCGCCACCTCCTCGCGCCTTGTCAAGACCTGGTCCTCATTCCAGTCCATCCTCAACTTCAACCTGGGCCATTTCGTCTACAAGACAAGTGAGTTCCACGTCGTCACTTTTGTCTGCACGAACGAAAGCGTCAAGCTCTATAGCGCCATAACATGGCCAGCCGTTATAAGGGTGCTGAACAAACAAAAAACATTGAACGTTCATCATTAGTCCACTGCAGTGAGAAAGTTGATTGGGTGACACTTGTGGCTATTCACAGTGTTGCATTGTCTTGAGCGAGCTTCTGAATGACGGCAGTGGCATGCGGGCCGGCAACGGCAAAGGTGCGGTTTCCGAACGTCAGTTTCATCTTTTTCGGAACACGTGGGTGACTGTGTGCAGCAATTCAGGGGGTGCTGCCACAGTGGTGTCATGAAACTGCAAACTATTTTCTTTTTTATTTTACCAGGTAGGTGCCCACTGAGCTATATAGCTCTTTTTTAGAAGTAACCTGGCCACAAATTATAGTTCAACGATGTGGCTTATCATCAAATACTTAAAATGCACGTGGATTCTAAATTTGGAGGGAACCCCCCCGGAGGACCCGGAGAAATATCCACACGACCACGGGGGATAGAGAGAGACATGCAAACTTCAAATGTACAGCAGACGTCAGAGTCGGGACCGAAGCCATGCCATCCTTCCTGCATACCAGGCGAGGTCATTAACATCTCGCCACCGTGGCTAAAATGGCTAGGCAAACAGAAATTTCCATCCAGAGGATGTTGCCAGTTCGATCTCGTGGCGTGGCAGTTGAAACAACAGGCCCACAATTCTCTTAAATCCCGCTGCTATCCCCTAGCAAGCAGCATAAATGGGTTCACCAAAGCTGCAATCAGACTGAAGGTCACGTGTGGCGAGGTAGTCCCACGTCTCCCGGAACTTCTCTACCTGGTGTGGTTACTAAGTTACAAGTACGGTACTCACACCGGCCCCACCAGCAACCTATTGGCCAGAATCGATCTGTGATTGGTGGAGGGAGATGGGGACATGTGGACCGAGATGTGACGATGTGTAGGATTGGTGGCAGGGATTAAGGTGACGGGGATGAGGTGAGGGGGAGGGAATGCGATCGGTGACCGGAGGAGGGACTGGAGCAGAAAGCTGAGGATGTCGGAGTGAGCTGTCGATGATCTGTGCCCACACCTCGGATTAGCACGGTTGGCTACGTACAGTGCGAAATAAGTTCAACATGCATACGTGCCTGCTACATAGACAGGTCCAAATGATACTATTGCTACAAAAATAAATCATTGGGGTAGGGGGGGTGCCCTTTTCTTTTGTACCACAGGTAAGTATGTACAAAGAGTTACTTATTTATTGGGTTCTCTATGTCTGTAAATAAGAAAACACCAAAACGTAACTCCACCCTACGGGCATCATTTATTATATTCATACATGAGGCTGTGTGAGAAGTCTGCCGATCATGATGCCCCAAATTGTAAGTTACAAATGTGAAAATGTGTGTGCGTGCAGAGGAAAAGGCGAGTGTGGTGTTTGTGGTGGACACATCGACCATCACAGCCGATGAGCTCAAGGTGGTGAAGACATTCATCGTGGGTATAGCCCATCATCTGAACCTGGCACCCGACAGCGTGCGTCTGTCCGTCGTGAGCTACGGAGCCAACTACCAGAAGCTGGTGGGTCCGGCAGAGATCAACTCGCCCAAGGACCTGGAGGCCAAGCTGGGCAGTGTCCTCGTGCCCACGGGCGGAGCCACAAACACCGGCAAGGCCCTCACCTACACCATCACTGACCTGCTGGCCAAGGAGCCTGCAGATGTTAGCAAGGTGAGTAACGCTTGGCATTCTGAGGTTCATCTATCAGGTGCAGTAAGCTCCTGACAAACTCAGCCCCTATTGCTACGGTATTTAACATTCGGCACTGTACGTGGCAGAACTTAGTCGTCATCCCAGAAAGAGTGCAGGCAACGGATGCTCGTTTTATTCCATCAGAGCGTGGTGCTGATAACGAGCGGACCTTCGAGTGACTCCGTGGCCCCCATCCCGGAGCTGCTGCAGAAGCACGTGGTGAGCCTGTTTGCAGTGGGCGTGAAGTCCAGCGACGTCAAGCAGCTCCAGACGCTCGTCTCCCGCGGAGGATACTACTACCAGCTCTCGGACTACTCGCTGCTCTCAATGATCCATAGCCAGATCATCATCAAGGCCCTCTACCTGCCTGCCAGTGAGTGTGCCCTGCGTATCTACCCCACTATCCAATGAACTACTACCAATAGGATTCACTTCTTAGCGCATGATAGTAACTCTTCTTCACCCATCGCACACACTCACAGATATATAGAGAGAGTCCGCCACCTGTCCTGGTTTTGCTCTTTTTCAGGGACACGAAACGTCCCAATTTGATATCAGTTGTGTATAGGTTACACCACTCAAAGCAATGCTAGTATATGTAGCGCTCCCCTCTGCCAGTGATGTGAGGTATTCTTCTTTCTATGATATGTCCATTTTTGTGTACCTCAGGTGGCAAACATACTCACATAGCACGCAGAAAATGTAGAGTTGCTGAAACTTCACAATCAGTTGCCACCAAATTGTAAGCAATCCCTTATTGGGGGAAACGATCTACGTATCTCATGTAATTCCAATAAATACTAGTTAACACTTACATCATGTAAGTTTGTCAGTAGCACGGTTCATCCAGTTATGTTTGATCATGTTGATCGTATCCATTTGCTGAACGAAAACGTGATGAGGTCGCACTCATTCACACGAAGTGTTCGCCACAAATTAACCACAATGCCTTGTTGATCTCGTCGAGGACCATAAATCATCACGGGAAGTCCGATTATCCTAGCGGTGGCTTTTGGCTAACCAAAAACACAAAGGCGGTCACTACATCGCGTGCTTTCAGGTGCACTTCTGTCACTGGAGCTATGCGCTTAAAAATCTAGATTGAAAACGAGAATTTCTTTAGAACTGGCTTTTCAGTGGTTAGTTTGTCCTTCCGACACAGCTCGGATTAGCAAGGTTAGCTACGTACGGTGTGGAAGAAGTTCAACGCACATACATATTGAAACCATAAATGAGCTAGGCATGTCCGTTTCTAATTATACGTCATGGAATGTTCATCAATCTGGTGAAGGAGGTATTACGGAAACCTGGTTTCTCTATTGTATTATTTTACAAAAATGCATATTTACTCTGGGTCCTAATGGAGTGTTTTGCGTGTGTTTCAGTTCAACAGGCCGTCACAAGTAAGTGCTGTTTCATTATCTTCACTGTTCGTCAAACACCGTAAACTCCGAACATTGAAGCTTTCTCACGTTGTGCTGTGCATGCTCCATGTTCATGCCGTAAAATCGTGTAACCCTCTATTCTAATTCACAGCTACGGTGGTGACAAACGAGTTCCAGTACAAGTTGGTACCAGGTGAGATGCTCCCTCCCGTGCGTGCCGTCGGTGAAGACGTTTTAAGTTGTCCCTGCCCATTGTCGTGTTACTCTGCTGCTGTTGCAGAATGTCGTTGGCTTGGCAGGGCCGTGATGGTGGCTGTGTCTGTGTGTGGCCGTCGACCAGGCAACCGTGATGCGGACGTCGTGTTCGTGGTGGATGGCTCATCCGAGGTGTCGGACGCCAACTTCGCACTAGTGCGGACGATCGTCTCCCAGATAATTGCGGGGCTGGACGTGGGGCCGGACTCAACTCGCGTCGCACTGGTGACCGTGGGGGGCACGCCCAGAGCGGATATCTCATTCAACTCGTTCCCTGGAAAGGCCGAGCTCCTGGCCGCAGTGGGAAAACTGGCGCCGGCTGGGGGACCGCGCAATCTGGGAGCGGCTCTGCAGCTGGTGGCCAACAGCGTCCTCAAGCCTGACAAGGGCTCGCGCAGTCAATTGGGCTCTACCACGGTACGGTCATTTTTCCTGTGTGGAGGGGACAAAGCTACGCAGCTCTACCTGATGAAGTACACTACTCGAATCATATCTGCAGCCATGAGAATCATGACCTACAGGCAACTACTGTTCGCAACCTCGGATTAGCGCGGTTGGCTACTTACGGTGTGAGAGAAGCTACACATACATCTATTGCTCTTTAATTTGAATGTATTTTACACGAAGATAAGCTTGGGCCTAAAAATTGCCAATCTCTGTTTTCTTTCGACAATTTTGACCAACTGTTTTTCTGGGTTCTAATCAGCTCTGTCTGTTTACTACTGGATTGTTTGTATCTCAGCTGAGATATGAATGCGGTTCGATCTCCCGGCACTGCCCTCTTATACCCTCAGATCGTTTACACAATTCTGGGTGGCAAGCCCGCTGACGATGTGACCGCGGGAGCATCCCTGCTGCGTGGTATGGGCGTGCTCGTGTCCGCGTTCGGAGCCGGCTACCAGGACTCCAGTGTGCTGTCCAGCATCGCCACCTCCAGCTCACAGGTGTTCACCTGGTCCAGCTTCCAAGACCTGGTCACCAAGAGCAGCTCCCTCACGGGGAACAGCCTCTACCTGCCGAGTACGTTGGGCCAGCCAAACATTCACCCTACTGGCCTGGATCTCACAGCTGCACCCTAAAAGCCTTGTTTGAAGGAAGCTTATTAGAAATACGAACTGTAATTTGTCCTACAGATATTGTTATTGTTGAGCCATAATATTTCTGTGTTGCGTGGAAAGTGATACCTTATGGAAGAACCAAGTTGTAGCAATAAGGCATTTTGAGATGCCATATTTTCCATTATTTTTGTGGTTATCGTATACAGCATACATCAATTCCGATCAATTAAAAAATCACGGGTCAAATATGTGAGCATAAGCTTTCACCAGCAATAGTAACATGACATCTACAGCGATGTGAGAGCATAAAACAACGTGGACTGGCAAGCACAAATGCTGAATTGGCAAAGGGCACGAACGGACAGGTAGAGGACAAGCTGGGTGACTTATCATTAAGAGCTTGGTGGGCTGGGCTGAAGGAGGTGGAAGCTCTACGAGCAGCAAAATAAAAGGATTGAGAGGGATGAAGAGCAGTGCATCTCTTGCACCAACATGGCAGAAATGTCTACGGAATTACATGTTGCGGAATTGCATAAAGACACATTCTTAAATCTGTACGTTTGTCTGCAGAGAGGAAAGCAAGTGTGACGTTTGTGGTGGACACATCGAGCACCATCACGGCCGATGAGCTCAAGGTGGTGAAGACATTCATCGTGGGCATGGCCAATCGCCTGAACCTGGCACCCGACAGCGTGCGTCTGTCCGTCGTGAGCTACGGAGCCGACTACCAGAAGCTGGTGGGTCCAGCAGAGATCAACTCGCCCAAGGACCTGGAGGCCAAGCTGGGCAGTGTCCTCGTGCCCACAGGTGGCGCCACAAACACTGGCAAGGCCCTCACCTACACCATCACCGACCTGCTGGCTAAGGAGCCTGAAGATGCCACCAAGGTAAGTGGCGCTCATGCACTGTGATGCAGTTGCTTGCGGTGACTCAACATTGTAGACTTCTGATGATTTTACCACTTCGTCGTGATTCTGGATAACGCTTCTGGTTTTTATGGGGGAGGAGTGGTTTCTGCCCCGTTTGTATATTTGCATTACTCCATGAGCCTAAATAAGAAGGGGCAGATCCTAAAGAGGAAAGACCCAATGGAGCCTCATCCGGAAGGGGTGGAGCCTGAGGAATAAGGAGGCGGGGCATAAAGAGTAAGGGCCGGGGTCTACAGAGGTTGAATTTCCCCGTTGAATTAAATAAATACAAGCAAGAGGTAGTGTACATTTAGAGCCACAGATGCAGCCACAAGCCATCTAGTCTACTTTAATGGTGACGTAAATAAATCGTTATATGCCTACATAATCCTAATCTAATTTTATATATACACAGCACATTCACTCAAGGCACTTGACAGTTTGAAACACAGTGACAGAATATAATGATGTAGATGACAGGGGCGTGCAAGGATTGAGGAATGAGTGGCCATGATAGAGAATATTTGGGAGTCACAAAAGGGTAGAGGAGAGACAAGAAGGAGTTGAGGGCTACGTGAGGCACGAGAATGGGCATTAGAAAAGAGGTGAGCCTTTAAGAGAGTGGGGTTGTGACTACGAAGTCTGGGAACCTGACAGACTCGGCCTTGAATGTTTCTTTTCCACTGTACAACTGACCCCTACTGGAGCCATGCCAAGTCAAACCAGCTGTTGCTCAGGAGGCCCCAGGTATTTTTTTGGTGCAGAAGCTGAACCTTGCTACTAATGTCGCACACAATGAACGTGCCATTAGCCCCACACCTGGCCCATCTTAGCCCTGAGACAGATTCACATATCTCATTTGGCCAACGTATCAGGGTTCGGTTCTGGCTCGGCATGACAAATAGCCTGTCGAAAACAACCGCTCAGCTCACATGTGCCGGCGGTAAAAGGCGGCCATGATATTTTTCTACCGTTAGCACACACGGCAAGACGCATTCATCGTCCCCAGGAATAACTTTGGAACCCCGGTTGATCGTTTATTCCATCAGAGCGTGGTGCTGATAACGAGTGGGCCTTCCAGCGACTCCGTTGCCCCCATCGCGGAGCTGCTGCAGAAGCACGTGGTGAGCCTGTTTGCGGTGGGCGTGAAGTCCAGCAACGTCCAGCAGCTCCAGACGCTCGTGTCCCGTGGAGGATACTACTACCAGCTCTCAGACTACTCGCTGCTCTTCCGCCTGCAAGGCCAGATGGTCAACAAGGTCCTCTACCTGCCTGCAAGTGAGTCTGCAACACCGAGCTAAGTACAGTCGCCATTTCCCTTCACCACCATAAACTATGAGCAGTTTCTCAGCAACTGAAATAGTTCACCTCAAGTGATTTAACTCGAAAATTTACTTGGTTTTTATTACCTGTACTACCTAGAACAGGATCCTATCAACATAATGCGTCCTCATGCAGTCCTTTTTCTAAAATACTTTAACACCTTTAAGTGATCGCGAATATTGTCGAGTAATTCTGGATGTGAAGTCCTCCTGCAGGGACTCCATAATGGACCATGACAGGAAGAGTTGCTTTTAAGTATGAGTTGTAAGTAACAGTTGTCTCTACTTTTGCGTTTCAGTCCAAAAGGCCACGACCAGTAAGTGTTTGTTATTATCTCTGCACCACATGATCCTTTTTGGAAATCCTCAGGCAGTTTGCTGAGTGGTCACATATCCATGACCATGTCATCTTATTCACACTCGCTCTCATTCACAGCTATTGTGGTGGCAACCGAGTCCCAGTACAAGGTGGTGCCAGGTGAGACACGTCCGGGCTCGTTTGCACTCCATGCCTGCCATCGGCGAAGAAGTGTTCAGTTTTCCCTGCTCAATGTCACGTTCCTTTTGCTGCTGTTGCAGAATGTCGTTGGCTTGGCAGGGCCGTGATGGTGGCTGTGTCTGTGTGTGGCCGTCGGCCAGGCAACCGTGACGCGGACGTGGTGTTCGTGGTGGACGGCTCATCCGAAGTGTCGGACGCCAACTTCGCGCTAGTGCGGACGATCGTCTCCCAGATAATTGCGGGGCTGGACGTGGGGCCGGACGCGACTCGCGTGGCACTGGTGACCGTGGGGGGCACACCCAGAGCGGATATCTCATTCCACTCGTTCCCTGGAAAGGCCGAGCTCCTGGCCGCGGTGGGAAAACTGGCGCCGGCTGGGGGACCGCGCAATCTGGGAGCGGCTCTGCAGCTGGTGGCCAACAGTGTCCTCAAGCCTGACAAGGGCTCGCGCAGTCAACTGGGCTCTACCACGGTACGATGGTTCTTCCTATGAGAGGGGACAAAGCTATACAGCTCTACCTGATGAAGTACACTACTTGAATAACATCTGCAGCCATGAGAATCATGACTTATAGGAAACTACTGTTCATTGCTCTTTGATGTGAATGCATTTTATACGAGTATAGGCTTTGGCCTAAAAAGGCCAATCTCTGTATGTATCCTTTCGATTAATTCGATCAGAATTTCTTCTGGGTTCCATTAGCTCTGGCTGGTTTACTACTGGATTGTTTGTATCTCAGCTGAGATATGAATGCAGTTCGATCTCCCGGCACTGCCCTCTTATACCCTCAGATCGTTTACACAATTCTGGGTGGCAAGCCCGCTGACGATGTGACCGCGGGAGCATCCCTGCTGCGTGGTATGGGCGTGCTCGTGTCCGCGTTCGGAGCCGGCTACCAGGACTCCAGTGTGCTGTCCAGCATCGCCACCTCCAGCTCACAGGTGTTCACCTGGTCCAGCTTCCAGGACCTGGTCACCAAGAGCAGCTCCCTCACTGGGAACAGCCTCTACCTGCCGAGTACGTTGGGCCAGCAAAACAGTCACCCTACTGGCCTGGACCTCACAGCTGCACCCTAAAAGCCTTGTTTGAAGGAAGCTTATTAGCTATGCAAACGAATCGAGTTTTGGGGCTCTCAAAATGAGATGAAGGCACTGTCCCTTGTCTTAGAGAGATTATTATCATTGAGAAATCATATTTCTACGTTGTGCGGAAACTGTTCCCTTATGGAAGAACCAAGTTACAGCATAAACTCGTTGTGATCACGCCTTAAGCATGGACTTCCTGTACAGGCTTTTGAGATGCCATGTGTTCGTTGACTTTTGCGCATACTGTACACAGCACACTGCACAAGCGAATCCAGTCGCTTTATAAATCACAGGGAAAATGGGTGAGCATGAGCCCTCACGTACAATAGTAACAAGAACAGCATAACAAAATATGGACTGGCAAACACAAATTCTGAATTGGCAGAGGGTATGAACGGACGGTCAGAGGACCAGCTGGGCGACTTATCGTAAAGAGCTGGGCTGGGCTCAAGGAGGTGGAAGCTTTTCGGGCTGCAAAAGTTAGAAAGGGTTTGAGAGGGATACATAGTGGTGTATCTCTTGCACAAACGTGGCTGAGATGTGTAGGCGGTCCGCCCTGTCCCTCTCCTCCTGTCACAAATCCTAACGATGGGGACAGGTCAGGTAAAGAAATAACAATAACAGCAACATGAAAAATAATAAAGTTCGGATACGATGAGTAGATACTCCGCATTGTGTTCAGTCCTCCGGAAATGTGGGCGAATCCACAACAGCTGAGCGCCAGGGGTTTGGGGAATAGCTGAACTTAATTTCAAAGTATTCGTCTGCAGGGAAATTGGATATCTGCAATAATGATCAGAAATTCCCTCCACGTCACAACACCGCAGCTCAATTCCTCAGCATGGAGTCCACCCAATTCTCAATTGGGGGTGTGCGCCGTACTCTACTGTGCACGTGGGGCTCGGGATCCAATCCCTGATCGCCGTTGACATTCACTTAATATAATAAAACACACCGAGCTACCCGTAGCTATTAGCAGAGTGCACAATTATAGGTGTGATTAATCACAGGTGAGCTACGGAATTGCATGTTGCGGGATTGCATAAAGACAAATCCTTTAATCTGTACGTTTGTCTGCAGAGAGGAAAGCAAGTGTGACGTTTGTGGTGGACACATCGAGCACCATCAAGGCCGATGAGCTCAAGGTGGTGAAGAAATTCATCGTGGGCATGGCCAATCGCCTGAACCTGGCACCCGACAGCGTGCGTCTGTCCGTCGTGAGCTACGGAGCCGACTACCAGAAGCTGGTGGGTCCAGCAGAGATCAACTCGCCCAAGGACCTGGAGGCCAAGCTGGGCAGTGTCCTCGTGCCCACGGGTGGCGCCACAAACACTGGCAAGGCCCTCACCTACGCCATCACCGACCTGCTGGCCAAGGAGCCTGAAGATGCCACCAAGGTGAGTGGTGCTCATGCACTGTGATGCAGTTGCTTGTGGTGACTCAACATTGTAGACTTCTCATGATTTACCACTTCGTCACGATTCAGGATAACGCTTCTGGTTCTTACCCTCGGTTTGCATTCTGTTTCGTTTGTACATTTTCTTCACTCCTCGAGCTGGAATTTAACGTCGTAATTGACAACAGCGGTAATGTACCAAATTTGTAAACGATCAATTCCTAGACATGTAATTCAATACTTGCGTTGTTAATGTGAGAATCTGTTATTGTATTGCTGCTTTAAGAGGGATTCTCGTCATTTTCATGAAGCCGCTCTACCCTGACTGTCACCCCCCACCAAATCCCCCACTGACTCCCCACCACCACTACCCCCACTGATCCCAGGTGCCCTAACTCCTACTCACTCCACCTACCGCTGCCCTACTATCCCCACCCACCACTCCCTGTTACTGCACCCCCCCCCCCCCCCCCTTCCACAATCCCCACCACTACCCAAACCACTCCAGCCTCGTATCAGGGAGGGGGGACACAACTTTTCTCCCCTAGCCCATCCTACTACTACTCGCTGCCTCCACCCCCCCCCCCCCCCAGCTATCACCAGGCCTACCCCAACCCCTATCAGTACCCTTACCCCAACCCCTCCTTAACCACTCCTGCCTGTTCTCCTGTCACCATAACTGCACGGCCCGTTTTAATGACAACCCCAATCACTATCAGCTTACGTACATGTTGTAAAGCTCCTCTGAATAAGGTGCTATGTAATTATATATACAGGATAAGAAGGGGCAGGGCGAGGGGAGGGTAGAGAATGGGCATTGAGGGAAGAGGTGAGGCTTTAAGAGAGTGAGGTTGTGACTGCGAAGTCTGGGAACCTGACAGACTCAGCCTTGAATGTTTATTTTCCACTGTACAACCAACCCCTAGTGGAGCCATGCCAAGTCAACCAGCTGTGGCTCAGGAGGCCCCAGGTCGTTTTTTGGTGCAGCAGTCGAACCTTGCTACTGACGTCGCAAGCAATGAACGCGTCATTAGCGCCACACCTGACCCGTCTTAGCCCTGAGCCAGATTCACATATCTCGTTTGGCCATCGTATCAGGGCTCGGTTCTGGCTCGGCATGACAGATAGGCTGTCGAAAACAACCGCTCAGCTCACATGTGCTGGCGGTAAAAGGCGGCCATGATATTTTTCTACCATTAGCACACACGGCAAGACGCATTCATCGTCCCCAGGAATAACTTTGGAACCCCGGGTGCTCGTTTATTCCATCAGAGCGTGGTGTTGATAACGAGCGGGCCTTCCAGCGACTCCGTTGCCCCCATCGCGGAGCTGCTGCAGAAGCACGTGGTGAGCCTGTTTGCGGTGGGCGTGAAGTCCAGCGACGTCCAGCAGCTCCAGACGCTCGTGTCCCGTGGAGGATACTACTACCAGCTCTCAGACTACTCGCTGCTCTTCCGCCTGCAAGGCCAGATGGTCAACAAGGCCCTCTACCTGCCTGCAAGTGAGTAATCTCTTTTCACGTAAACCTAGTATTTTTGCAGGAGGGCAGCCCGGGGGAGTTTTGACTGGTGGGCCTTTGATAATTGTCACCTCCAGGTTAGGTCAGTGACTTGGCTTGAGCAGCGGACTATAGCCATGTTATTAAGGAAAAGATTAGGTGACCGGCTTATAGAAATACACAGTTACATTTGTCGCCCTCGACCTTGCTACCATCAGAGTAGTGTGGTGAGTATGGCGGTGATGTTTAGGGACATTTACCGGGGAGTGCGCACACAATAATCATTGGACTGGTCGGATAGAACATATCAATGTTAAGGTTTTCAGCCAGTACCCTTTATACCGAAGTTTCACTCGGGACGTTGGGCAATATCTGGTCACGAATTAGGCACGAGGCGTAATGTGTGTCGATGGCACGCTGGTGTGATTGGTTAGCACGCTGGACTTACAATCCACAAGTCACCAATTCAGTCCCCGGTGTGGCAATGGAACAAACCCAAGCTAATTTTTCAGCACAAGTCGTGCGCGTTTGGGCAAAGTTTGGGGACTTCCTTCTACCTATTCCACGATATCTGGCCAGCATGGAAGAGTAGGCCAAAATGCCCTCTAAAGGGGTGGGGGGGGTCTCGAGAGCTCCCTCTACTTAAAGCCTTTCCGTCAGCAGTAGCATCAGCGAGACATTGCAGGGACGCACCTTTGTTATTACAGCGAGTGCATCGGGACACCAGATGCATTATTCGTTGTAAAGGAAACAAAAAATCACGTTGCACACTCGGCTCGCAGATCAAAAGATAGACCTCCTGACGTTCCTCCGACACCGCAGGAACGTCAGGATGACAGGAGCACAATTTGGAAGAATACGACAGAGAGAAAACAAAAGCTCCCCCCTCCCCCCCCTCCGACAAATAATGCGAAAACACAAATCACGTCTATTGGAGCAAACGACGCCCGGCGGGCCGGAGCAATAGTAACTAATTGGCACCACGTTATGTTTACACGTGACAAGACTTGCTAATTGGCTGCGCCTGGGTGGTGGTGGTGGTGGGTGAACGACAACACATCTAGACGCGATACTCCCCGGTTTAGTTTGAAGGCGTCGGCGGAGGTGGGGGTGGGACCCACATGGTGAGATTTGCCCGGGGCCCCCCTATCGAGGGCCCTGATTACGCAAGGCAGTCAGTCAGTCAATGGCTTTCTAATGAACGTTTTTTTTGTGCTCTCTTTCTTCCCGCAGTCGTCAAGGCTGGTAAGCGGCACTTCCCGTCTCCCATCCCGTGTGATGTATACGCACAAATTGTGGAGCCAGTCACGCGCACGCCCCACGACCCCTCCATACCATATTCGTCAGCCCTACTGTGGGTTTTAAGTGGCACATTGCTGATTTGTGGGAAAAACATAGCCCACTTTTCACCCAGTCTCTATGCGTCTCTATGTATCCCTATGAGTTTATATGTATCTCTATGAGTCTCTATGCATCTCGATGAGTCTCTATGTATCTCTATGAGTCTCTATGCATATGTATGCGTCTCTACGTATCCTTATGAGTTTATATGTATCTCTATGAGTCTATGCATCTCTATGAGTCTATGCATCTCTATGAGTCTCTATGTATCTCTATGAGTCTCTATGCATCTCTATGAGTCTGTAGTATCTCTATGAGTCTCTACGTATCTCTATGAGTATCTATGCATCTCTATGAGTCTCTAGTATCTCTATGAGTCTCTAGTATCTCTATGAGTCTCTATGTTAGATTAGTTTATTCAGTTGTTGAGCCAACTCACTAGGATTGTGCAAAACCTCGCCCACTTTTAACCCAGGCAACTGGAGAACAGCACAGACTAAGTGTTACTAACCTAACATTAAACACTAACAATAACATTTAAGAATCGCAGTTAAAGAGACGAAAAACATTGTATATACTATGAAAAGTAGTTAAAATAACTTTTTTTACAGACCTAACTGTGCACGTGGTGGCTCCTTCTTTCGCAGAGAATATGCAGGTGGTCATAGACACGACCAAGCTGATGGCGGACAAAACACGGATCATCGGAGGTAAATGCAGCATCAGTCAGGCTCCTGTTTATCTTTTTTTTTACAGAGACTCAAATTTCACCATCATCTGCGGTGGTGGTGAGATGTTAACTCCCTCACCTGGTATACAGGAGGTCGAGGGTTCGATCATGGCCCTGATGGTGTGTCTCTCACCGTGGTCGTGTGGATTTTTCTCCTGGTCCTCCGGTTTTCCCCTCCACATTTAGAATCAACGTCGCACGTTTAGAGTATTTGGCTGCAATAAATGTCCACCTGATGATGATAAGCCACTTCGTTGAGCTATCATTTGTGACCAGGTCGTTTCTGAAAAAATAACTACATAGCTCAGTGGGGCCTTACCTGGTACAACAAAGTTAACAGTTAATGGTTTAAATCGTTTTATCTGATGTGGCACACTTAATGTTTAAATTCCCACAGCCTGGTTTGCTCTTTCCGCTTCAAAGGTGGAATTTGCAGATTCATCCCATATAGAATCTCAGTCTCATCCCAGTCCTGAGCTTCAGATTCTGCTGCTGGTTTTGATCTTCTGTGGAGGGTTACGACACATTTATAAATAAACGCGATCTAACCCAAAAACCTTTATTATGAATGTATGTATGTTGAACTTTTTCACACCGTACATAGCCAACCGTGCTAATCGGAGGTGTGTGGTAAGGACAACGAACTAAACACAAAAGCAGTACTAAAGAAATTAGTTTGTCAATCTATATGATTTAAAAGCGCATAGCTCCCAAGTGGCTTCCTAATATGGGAAGGGAAGTGCATTCCAGACGGCCACAGAAGCTCATTTGAAAGCGCCGCACGATGCAGCTGTGACCGTCTTTGATCGACGGCCAGCGTCGTTATTTGTAAGTCTAAAGCGTACTTTAAATAATGCGATGATAATTGCCATTGTTTCTTCGGGAATAATAGCATCGCCAATGCAGCTGGGCACCAATTGGAGAAATAATGTACGCCAGTAACCTTGGCCGATGCTTGTTGTGTCGTAACGTGTTTTACTAACCCCCCACCACCTATGTATTCTTGGTTCTTTCGGTAAAGTCACGTAGAAGGGAAACAATAAAATAATAAATATTTATAAAAAATATAAAACAATAAAATTATCACGACCTTTCGACTGCAACACAAGCGATCATCATCAGGTGTGAAAACCACAGCAAGAAAATTTGAAAAAAGTGGCGGTTACTTTTAACGTTAGCACCACGGAGAGCGATTTGACAGTTTGTTCAGATGGACGAGTCCATCTATGTTCGGAAAAGAGGAGGGGGGAGAGGAAAACAGTGGATGCGGTTCTGAAAGTCACCGTAAGCTTGAACAATCAATTAAGACCCGAAATGGTTTGTCAAATCCTTCCAATGATTGCAAAGCCAGAATCCATCTTCTCGGTTGAAATTGTCTCTGTGTTTGTATATGTGGATAGCCTCATGAACGAATCTCTCTTTCCCTCCCACAGGTGGATCCAAGGGACTTAAAGGTCAGTTCGTGCCTCCAATCTCCAATTTGCCACCTACGACATCCTCGCCAAAAAGATTGCAAATTGACCCAGGGGATTATAGCCACCCTGCACGATTGTCTGAACACATGGCCATAGCTTGGTGGAGTGTCTAGGCGGCGTGGTGGCAAGATGTTAACGCTATCGCTCGGTATGCAGCAGGTCGTGGGTTCAATTTCGACCCTGTCGCCTGTAAATTTGGAGTTTTCATGTTTCTCTCACCATGGTCGCATGGATTTTTGTCCAGGGCCTCCGGCTTTTCACTTCATATTTAGAATCAACATTACACGTTTAGCGTATTTGGGTGCTATAAATTTGCGTGCTATAAATTTCTACACGATACGCCACTTAATCGCGCTATCATTTGTGGCTAGGTTGGTTCTGAAAACGACCTATATAGCTCAGTGGGCCTTACCTGGTCAAATAAAAAGTAATAAGTCAGTAGTAAGTGCACCTGAAGCCCATGGACCAGAGGAACGCAGGTGCCAGGTTTCGAAAAAGTGAGAAATTAAGGCAGGATGGACACATTTCATTATTGAATTTGTTAAGTCTTTGAGTCAGCTGGCCAGGATTGGAAAAAAAACCTGTCCCGTGTGTGATATGATAGTGTCATTGGGGTAGTGTAGCGGGTAGCGCTCGGCCACGCTACGAACCCGACGACCCGAGTTCGATTCCTGCTCACGGCGGCCACCACCGCCGGTGACGATTATCTGAAGTCGGCCCGAGCCCTCCCTAAGTCGACCCAGCCTCCAATGAATTGTGTAAAGATCGCCACTGTGGGAGACAAAGGCGGCCGGGCATGGTGCTGGCCACCCAACCCCCTCGTGCGCCGTGCCGGCCTTCATAGGTGCTGCCCGCTACTCTCTAAAAGCACTTGCCCCCAATAGTCTGGCTAGTGGCATAATTAAACCCGAGCGTGGTGTGTGCGCGTTTGTATTGCAGCCATCACCTGCACCACCGCGGCCAAGGAATTCCTGACGGACAGCGCCGCAGTGTAAGAGAGCGCCGGAATTACAAGACGCGGGTGGGGGAGGGGGGGAGGACTTACGCACCGATGCACCGACGAAGCCGTCACTTAGCGTGCAGGCAAAACACAACGTCGTTGAATTCGAACGTCTGCTCAGGGCCCCCAGTGTGGGACGGCTCCGTGACGTTGCTAATTCCCGCGCTCGCTGTGTCATTGTGGTTCGTAGGGTTTTCTGTCCTCCGGGGTGCCAATCTGTCAAGGGCTACAAGGTCAAGGGCAGCTACATCTACTCATTGGTAAGGGTGGCGAGTGGCGCCTGCGTGACTCAGGGGTCGGAACACCAAGCCGGCACCGTTGAGATTTCCGGGATGGAAAATGGGAATGAGTCGCACGCGATTGGAGCGGGTTCTCAAGCACGGCGGGTTGTTTGAACTAAAACTTCACGAATTTTATTTTTTTATCAGTTAAGGCCCATTGAGCTTTAATAGCTCTCTGTCAGAAGCGACCTGCATATCACGAATTATCGCTCAACGAAGTGGCTTAACATCGTGTGGCCATTTAGAGCAGTAGCCAAAAACTCTGAGCGCACGTTGATCCTAAATGTGGAGGGAAAAACCCAGAGAACCCGGAGAAAAATCCACGCGAACGCGGGCCATACTGGTTAAAAAATATGTATTATTATCGCTGCCACCGCCGCCCCTGCTGCTGTAATGAACACCGGTGGCCCCTCGGCAGGACTCGATGGTGTGCGTTGCTGCCGCGCACGCCGGCGTGGTCATCCCGGAGGTGGGCGGTGTGGTGACGGTGGTGAAGAAGCCGGGGGTCCTCTCCTTCGACGGCTCCGTGATCAACAGCATTTCGTCGCATGCCGCACCCGGGGAGCCCCTCTCCTTCGTCTTCAAGGGCTGCCCCTGCGCTTAGACGTTTGGGGTCGGCCGCTCGCCACCCCCCCCCTCCCCCACCGCCCCCTTCTCGCTTGGCCGGACGTCTCAGTCTGCCTTCAAACCGGCTCACGCGCGAGACGACCATTGTCGGCAATGGCAACTGAGCCACGGATTCCCAGATTTCGCGCGAGTCGCTCGGTCATCGCTTAGACGTCGCATCTTAAAGGGGAAAACCTTACGTTTGCGTTAAAGTGTTTTGACGCGTGTACCTGCTGTGCTCGTATGCGACCAGGCCTGGTGATTCAGTGTCACGGATGACGGCCGTCCGCTACGTGTCGTCAGTCGCTCTGCAAGTGAACCACCGTTCTGGCGATGTTCAGAAGCGACCCCGTGGCTCACCGCTCATTGCTCACGCTGATTGTCTATGGGCCAGGCTTTAGGTCCAACCGTCCGGGCCACCTCTAGAGATCTGTACACGTTTGGATTGTAGTGTCAATATTGCTTTGTAACAGGTGTGGTCACAGCCAAGCACGGTCCAGACATGACCTCTCCCCACTGACCTCTTCTGTTACCACATAACCGAGCCGAGCGCGGGGTTAAGCCAAAACGTGATAAACGGAAGGTTCTGTAACAGAGCAATGATGCAGTGATGCAATTCCAACCGTTAGTACAGACCCAGAATTGCCTTGACCAAGACAATCGTGGCACAAGTGGATATTTGACCCCTGCTCGGCATGAGGACTCCACAGTCGCATGCGTGTGAGAGTCACCAGCGTGACCGGGACGTGCGCCGGTGTCGTTTGCTACAGCCCCAAATGTGACTCGCCTTTTAAATAAAAGAATTCAGAAAATACTTGTTCGGTTTTTTTTCTTCTTCACGTTCCGATCTACAGTTTGATTTTTTTTTTTTACCGGGCGTTGGGGTTGCACTTTCGTGATTTCTGTCTCGGAAAAAAGATAGTTTTACCCGCCTGGACGTAAACCCTGGCAGCTACGTACGGTGCGGCAGACGTTCAACATATGTACAGAAACAGAATATTGATTTATACTGGAGAAGTCCGATGAGCTATATAAGCTGTTTTTCACACATGTCCAATTGGGGCGGGTAAGAACGTTGCAACAACCAATATAAAAACACGATATGGGTGCAAAGTACAAGAAATGCAACACAAACGAAACTATTTTAGTTTATTTTACCAGGTAAGGCCCACGGAGCTATATATAGCTATTTATTTCAGAAGCGGCCTGGCCACAGATGATAGCTCAACAAAGTAGCTTATGTGGAAATGTATACCAGCAAAATAATCTAAATGCAGGTTTCTTCGCACATACGTGACTCAACCACAGACTCCCGCAGGTTATCATCCTGGCTGCGTCGACTTTTTTGCGGTCAAGGGGTTTGGATCCAGGTCCCTTTACAAAGTTTACAGGATGCAACCGCACGATATCCCCATCAAGCGGCCCCATCAGTGGCCAAGAGAGCGGTGTCCAGGGTTCTCACACGTGTCCTCCAACAACGCAGGGACACTGAGGCTGCATCCGTTTCTCCCTTAAAACAACCGCCATCTTTCCACCCCTAGCCCATCGTTCTTCCTGCTAATGCTCCTACTCCCTGCCCCTACCCCCCAGCTACGGACCAGGCCAACCCCAAACCCCCATTACTACACCAACCCCCATCACGACCCAACACCTATCACTACCCCAACCCCTATCACTACCCCAACCCCTATCACTATCCCAACCCCTATCACCACCGTAACTCCTATCACCACCCTAACCCCTTTCACCACCCCAACCCCTATCACTACCCCAACCTCTATCACTACCCCAACCCCCATCACGACCCAACACCTATCACTACCCCAACCCGTATTACTACCCCAACCCCTATCACTATCCCAACCCCTATCACCACCGTAACTCCTATCACCACCCTAACCCCTATCACTACCCCAACACCTATCACTACCTCAACCCCTATCACCACCCCAACCCCTATCACTACCCCAATACCTATCACTACCCCAACCCCTATCACTACCCCAACCCCTATCACCACCGCAACCCCTATCACTACCCCTACCCCTATCACGACCCAACCCCTACCCCTATCACCACCCCAACCCCTACCTGTATCACAACCCCAACCCCTACACCTATCACCACCCCAACCCCTATCACTACCCCAACCCCTACCACTACCCCAACCCTTATCACTACCTCAAACCCTATCACTACCTCAAACCCTATCACTACCCAAACCCCTATCACTACCCCAACCCCTATCACTACCCCAACCCCTATCACTACCCCTAGCACTACCCCAACCCCTATTACTACCCCTACCTCTATCACTACCCCAACCCCTATCACTACCCCTACCTCTATTACTACCCCAACCCCTATCACTACCCCAACCCCTATCACAACCCCTACCTCTATTACTACCCCAACCCCTATCATTATCCCAACCCAAATCACGACCCCAACCGCTATCACAACCCCAACCCCTATCACTACCACAACCCCTATCACTACCCCAACCCCTATCACGACCCAACCCCTACCCCTATCACTACCCCAACCCCTATCACTACCCCTACCTCTATCACTACCCCAACCCCTATCACTGCCCCTACCCCTATCACCACCCCAACCCCTATCACTACCCCTACCCCTATCACCACCCCAACCCCTATCACTACCCCAACCCCTATCACGACCCAACCCCTACTCCTATCACTACCCCAACCCCTATCACTACCCCTACCTCTATCACTACCCCAACCCCTATCACTGCCCCTACCCCTATCACCACCCCAACCCCTATCACTACCCCAACCCCTATCACTACCCCTACCTCTATCACTACCCCAACCCCTATCACTACCCCTACCTCTATCACTACCCCAACCCCTATCACTACCCCTACCTCTATCACTAGCCCAACCCCTATCACTACCCCACTCCTATCACTACCCCAACCCCTATCACTACCCCAACCACTACCCCTATCACTACCCCAACCCCTATCACTACCCCAACCCCTATCACTACCCCTACCTCTATCACTACCCCAACCCCTATCACTACCCCAACCCCTATCACTACCCCAACCCCTATCACTACCCCTACCACTATCACTACCCCAACCCCTATCACTACCCCAACCCCTCTTTAACCACTCCTGGCTGTTCTCCTGTCACCATAACTACACCAACACTTTTAATAACCCCACTCTTTGTCGCGTCCACAAGCATGTTATGTTCAATTTCATAATTGCTGTCAAGCCTGTTGAAATAAGCTGCTGCTCTATATATATCTCTATCGGTGATTGCAGTGAAAGACTCGGTCGTGCTTCGTTGTCTGATGTGTAGAGTCAGAGTGAATGAGCTTTTCTAATACACGTGTAGTGAGCGACTTCCGACCCACGTCTAGTAGAAGGCTTCTTATTTATTAAGAGCACGCAGGGCGATACATTTCGTAACGCGGCTACACCTAGGCAGAGCTGGTCTTGCAGAAGAACAGCCACGTGGTCGAAGACGAAGAGATGATGACAGCAGAGACGCAACCAGGACCCAGACCCCACACTAACTGCCCGAAGCTCTAGTTTGGTGCTCCTTATATCGGCCTGGCGTTGCCAAGCTCCACCTCTGGCCACGCCCTCTTTCTAGAACCTTCTAAACCCTTCGGGATGGTTCCCGGAGCTTCTTGACTGACTCCGCCCTTGACCTTTACCCCAGATACGCCCCTTCATAATAAGGCATTACGTTCATAGTTCATAGTTAGTTCATAGTTCATTTATTTGGTATAGCCCTGTGAGCCATTCGGCTCTTGAATCGGGTGCAACCACAACAAACAAAAAACATGAACAAGAAAATATCTTAAAGTGATTATGTGACTGTGCAAACAGAAAATACAGGAAAAAAAATATCAAAATATTCCTGAAATAGCACCGTACACCAACGCTGTGTACAAAAATCCCAGTGGGATGAAAGTCAAATAACAACAACAACAACCACAAGACAACTAAGATTAAGGCCATCAGTCTAACTCCGTACTACAATAAACAAAAACATAGCCAAAACAAAAAAACTTTTCGAAATCACCAAAATAAAAGCCATAAATCCAATGTAACAGTGATCATAGGGACTGTGACCGAATTTTTAACAATAAACTACATAAATAAATTATAACACCAAAATCTAGAACCATAGCTGGCTGCATGAGTCACTCCACAACAACAGGAGCATCAGTCGGAGTATCAATTTTTTCAATGCACCTTTAAGATCAGCACACTAAATCTAAATACAGATCATACTTTGCAGCGGTCATTCCGAGCGAAACATTTTATTTTATTTTCATTTTATTTTTATTCGGTATAATTTTATTTGGTATTTTATATTTTATTACGTAATGCAGCTTTAACCGTAATTACCCTTACAGGCCGGCAGGTGCCACACTGTCATTACACACGTATGTAAAATTGAGAAAATACACGCATGTGCATTAGAAAAACCCCCGTGGTTGGCAAGACTCAAAGGCTCGTGGAAAGTAGGGGGTTAGGTTCCTGAAACCTCCCGTGGTTAGGAAAACAGTGTTTGGCAAAACTAAAAGGTTTATGGAACGTAGGAGTTAGGTTCCTGAAAACCCCCGTGATTAGGGAAACCGTGTTTGGCAAAACTAAAAGGCTTATGGAAAGTAGGGGTTAGGTTCTGCAGCGGCGGTTAACACTTCCATCGACGCCTAACTACGCACCCTATGCATTCGGTAAACTTGAGAAATACGTCCAGTACCGAAGAACACACGGTAACCCTGTATGAACAAAAAATCCTGTTAATTACCTTTAATGTTGATAGTGAAGTCCAGATAATGTTGACAGTGACAATTACGATGATGGTGATGTTAGGGAATGGAGAGGGGGGACTCTGCTCACACAGCCCAGATGCCGTTCTACCGACGCCTCACTCTCTCCGCGAGCGAGACGAACGTGCAACTCAACTTCACTTATGAAAAAATAAGAATAGCTTTTACCCTTTCTGGCAATAAAACAGGTGTCAAGATTTTGATTTAAATTTTGATTTAAAGCTTTCGTGACTGCAGTAATTCATATTCTTAGCTCTTTCGGTAAAGTCTTTACCGAAAGAGCTAAGAATATGAATAGGTGTCAAGATATTCAAACACAAAATAGAAACCTTTTTTGCAAGGAATCAACGTCGTTTCTTCTCTCTAAAGACAACCACAGCCCTCACCGCGCCCTCTTCCTCACGCGCCGCTTCACCTTCACCGCCAGCTCGACGCTTTAGGGGCCTTGATTAAGGGGGACATTGAGTGGTATTGTAAATACCGCACACTTTCACGAGGTGCAAACGAGAGCACCACCGCGTTTTCACGGCTGATGCACAACTGAACGACGGGGCTAAGTAGAGGGATACTCTTGACTTTCGTCCACTTGACTTTCGTCGCTTCGGCCCTTTCGGCTGTTCTCAACTACAACCACGTTTCAAATTTCGTCCACGCGGCTCTTCTCTTCCGTCCGGTTTCATCCCCAAGCTTCCGCGACGGTCGCGCCACGCGCCGTTTTTCTCGTTCAGTCTTTGAATAGAAGTCGCTCAGTGAGCATCTCCTTTGTTTATTTTTCTGTTATTTCTGTTTATTTAGGTTTCGCACGCACGTGTTATATAGTTACTGTAGTTATTTGCACGCCCGTTTTTTCGCCAGCCAAAATACATTTGCAAGCTAAATAAAGGCTCTGCTTTGACATTTGTCCAATTTTGACATTCGTCCATGCTCCGGTCCCTAACCAGATGAAAGTGCAAGGTATTGTTGTACTATTTATTTGGTTCTTTCGGT